TGCGCGTGCATCTTGAAGAAGAGTCGTCCCGAACGGCGCGTTATAGAAAGTATAACCGGCACGCGCGTTTAACGGCTACCTGGGACGCGCACGAAACGCACGGCCGGGCCAATTTTATTCGATTATTATGTTGCGTTACGTGTCGTTAATAGCCGCTTAAAAGATTCCTTAGTGGCCCATAAGAAAAAAAGAGACGTCCGTCCGCACGTCGCGTCATTTTCGGGGCTAAATTGACGCGGGAAGAGAATATTACCTCGTTACAAGTGCGAGAGAACATCGCCTCGCGTATAAACGTTCTCGCAACGCGACATTCTCCTTCATTTTTTTGCGCTTCAAATCAATCCCGATTCCTCCTAATTTTGCAACCGTCCACAAAGAGCGGATGAGAACGTGAAAATACGTTTTTTTGCGCGTCGTCATCGCACGTACTTCGACCCACGTATCTTGCGACACGCGCAGAGCTACGGGCTAAAAGCCATTCCGAAATTCAATATGCTAATTGCACGTCTCGTGATTGATCGCCGTGAAAATTCGCCGAGCTTCGAAGCGGGAGGACTCTCTCGTCATCGTGTAGACACCACACAGGTAAACGCTCCTTAAACACGTCTCCTTAATCTCACTTTTCTTTTTTTTTAACCGTGAGCTTTTCGCGATTGACTAAGTAATTCACGGTAAGCAAATGCTTCCCGCCAGCCGGAGGCTGGAAACAATGGAATTGGCCGCTTCCGCGACGCGAGGTAACAAGGAACGGGCAGGAAGAGAAAAGAACTTGAAGAATTTCGGCTCGCCGCCTTCCTCGGAAGCATCCTCTCGCGTTCGCAAGTGCATCGACGAAGCAGGAAAATGGGTAAAAAGACAGAGAGAAAGAGAGAGAGAGAAAGAGAGAAAGTATAATTTATTATACGCTTTGAGATTCAATTCTCTTAAACGTATTTAAAAAAATATATAATTTCATTTGATAATTGCTTTGTGAATATTAGTAGATAATAATACATGTATGCTGAGTAATTACTTTATAAGGAGTAAACCTTGAAATAAAGGTACGTTAGTAATTATAATTATAATTAAGACATATAAGAGAAAAAATAAAAGAGAAAATGCAAACTCACGACTAATATCAGTCGGAATATCAGAGAGAGAGAGAGAGAGAGATAGCTTTTATCGAGTTTAATACATAATGAATAATATAGAGCAAATTTTACATTAAAGCTATGCCTATAGAGAGATTGTTGTTAAAGTGAGTAGATGTAGATTACAAAATACATAAGTATGCGACTACTCGAAATATAAACGTAGATATGAATATATATGTAACCGCGTCAATACCAGGTTATATATGAACATGATAATATACGGGTAATGTCAGAGAGAGAGTCAAATATACACGCTACCGACTTGAACATACCTAGACAGCTTCACCAAAACAAGCAGATGATGAAACAAGCAAATATGAAGAAAGAAAGAGAGAAAGATAGAGAGAGAGAGAGAACTAAATTCAAATGCAGAAAGAGAGAAAGAGAAAGATAGAGATAAAAACTAAAATTCAAATTCAGAGAAAGAGAGAGAGAAAGAGAGAAAGAGAGAGAGAGAGTCAGACAAAACCTAAATTCAAATTCAGAGAGAGGGAAAAAGAGAGAGAAAGAGAGAGAGAGAGAGAGAGAGAGGGAAAAGGAGAGAGAGAGAGAGAGAGAGTCAGAAGGCCGAGACAGCAGCCACTCTGTCTAATACTAAAGCGACTGACGCCAGAGAGAGAGAGAGAGAGAAAGAGCAGATGGAGACATTTTCCTTTCTTCACCTATGAAAAACTTTACAGCTATGGAAAATCGCATGGAATTTTGAAAATTCCTCAACGAGCGTGCGCGTTCTTCCATCGCAACGGGAGGTACGTGCAAGGTACGAATGTTGCCCAGGACAAAAGTAGATCACGAGTAAAACGAGTTCTCCGGTTCGGGCGCGCACCAATGCGAACGAAAAGTTTAACCTTGCTAGGTGACGGTATCCCCTGCTCTTTCACGCAAGTACGTGCCTCGGACTACACGCGTGCGCGTGTCTGAGTAGACGTAGATGAAAGGAGGCTACGATTTCGAGAGGGAACGGCAGGTGATATAATAACGAAACCGATACGAGAGCGCGTAGGACCTACATGGAGCTGCGGAACGCTCTCATGTTCGAGTTCAAGTTCAAACTTCCGAGAGAAATCCGGTAGAAGTGTCGTCGTGTAAAATCGCCGGAAAAAAAGGCCCGATCACACAGATTCGGTCACCGCGGCGCGGCGCGATTATTCTTACCCACGGTTTCGTTTCGCTCATAAATTATTAATATCGGCCGAAAGTTTAGTCCGGCCGTGCGAACTCCGAAGGTCTGAGAGCAGCGGATCATTAGCATTGAACTTGACCAAGATCGAACTCGTTCGGAGTTCGCATCGCCACGCGACTCGATTACCTCCGCCTGTGCGATAATTGTGCATTAAATTAATTTCACGACGGTCTTTGGAAACAGGTTGCAGCGAGAACGAAGTGAGACGTGTAGTCGACCTGTCGCGTAAACCCGCGACGAGAGAGAGAGAGAGCTTTTTTTTTCCCGATCACGTCGCGCGCGAGGAAACTGACGCGAATTTCTAACAGATACTTGTTAACGACCGAAGACGTCTCTTACGTGGATATTTTCGACGGGAGAATCTAATGTTCGACCAGCACGGCGAATTATCCTCGCGGCCTTCGTTGCGAAACCGAAAGTCTCTCTTCCTTCTCCGCGTGGAAACCTGCCAGCGGTATCTCCGCCGCCGTGAGAGCGAGAAGGAGAGAGAGAGAGAAAGAAAAAGAGAGGGTGATCAAGGGAGGTAAGGAGAAAGAGGGAGGGAGGGACCTCGAAATCCATTTGACCCGAATATCCGACGGAGGAGCTTCTCTCTCTCGTTTATTTTTCTCCTTCCTTTGCTCTTCTTGAATCGGGAGGAATTAAACTTTCCCACCGGAGGAAGCGGCAGCAGCAACGGCAGCGAATCTGCCCTTTGTTTGCCAATTCCGGTTCGTCGTTTCTCATCGTCTTCTTCTCTTCGGTGCAGTCCCTGCGGATCCAGGTCCTCGTCGATCGCTCGAGATCACCCGATCGGCCGTAGCGGGGCATCGAGGCCGAGGACGAACATGGGAGAGAGTCGCCGATTCTCGAGTAACATGCTTTGGAGAACGTGAACCTGCGCAAAAAGAAAGATCTTGGGTGATACGATGACTAATCGTGTTAATTGGATGATCGTGTAATACACGGACGGATAAAAGCATGGCCCGGGTGAAAACTCGATGAGACGAGAAGTGATATCTCCGTTACTGCGACTGAGGACACTCCTGTGAACGTTCAGCTGTATTTGACACGTTGAACGTCAGAACTGAGAGAATAATATACGGCCGATCATTCGTAGGAGTTGGGCATACTTGATATTTGTTTCTGCTCATATTGCAAAGTTTGGGCTTATGAATGGTGAATTTCCACTGTTTGGTTATTCAAGTAACGGGTTTATATAGGTTTGGTATCGTTAAGCGGAGTCCACAATGAGAATTTAATACGTAAGACTTTTAAGAAATTGACCAATCATAGTCGAATTATAGAAGAAATGTTAATTATGATCGGTCAATTTCTTAAATATTACGCCTTAAATTCTCATTGTAGACCCGGCTTTATAAATTAAGCCTTTCTTTATAAGTTAATTTTATATATAAGTCAAAGTGAAATTCAATCCACCCATCTCTCTGGAAATATGATGGAGCAGATGGCTCTGTCTACTCTAAAATATATAATCTAGCTACTGTATGCCCACCACCGTTAGCATTTAAAAATGACGTAGCAAATGAAAATTGAGAGTGCGTGATTCCATAAAAATCTGAAAAGACGCAAAGTGAGCGGTTACATCACTGCCTAGGCAACTAGTTATGATTTTTCTTCTCGTAACTGTAATTTCTTTTGTTAACCATTAGCTAACTTATTTATCTGGCTATTATCTAGCCTCCAGGAGAAATGAGCATTACATTACCGGCTAATAACGCATTACATACAAATGTATTATCTTGTGGCTAGACATTCACAAGGCTCAATTTCTGCTAGGGCATTCTCTCGTCATTTTGACATAATCATGATTTTCTGTTCCTACACAGGACGTTCCTTTCAAATAATTTATTGCTTGCAACCATTGTAATGTTCGAGTGAAAATATAAAAGAAATATGTTATTTGACATAAAAATATTTATTGTGTTGGAGAAACCAAACAAGCCTGTTTGTTGAATCAAACATTCATTTGTTCCATTTCGAAAGACAAATTTGTCTCAATTAAAGAAACATTATTAAATCTAAGGAAATCTTTTCCTCTGTGTAAACAAGAAACATTAAACCAATTTTATGGAACATTGAATGTTAACATTGAATTGTATGGAACAGATTTCATGTAGATTTTATAGACATTTTGATATAATATTTTATAAATGTTAAACTATTACCTGACGTATTTGCATAATGCACCCAATTGCCTTGCTTGTAAATCATTCCCATGGATTTCAATCGTATGGAAACTGCTTGTTGCGTAACTCCCAATGATTCTGCAAGCTCCTCTTGCGTTTGACTCAGATCTTCATCGAGTAATGCCTCCAATTCTTTGTCTTCGAATTTTTTTGGCTGTCCAGAGCGAGGCTTGTCTTTAACGCTGAAATCACCATTCTTGAAACGTCGAAACCATTCCCTACATGATTTATCAGTTGGAGCATTGTCGTCATAAACTTCTACAAGCATTCGATGCGCTTCAGCTGCACTTTTCTTCCAATTAAAGCAGAAAATTAAAATCTCCCGCAAATGCTCCTTAGTTAACACAAAATTTGACATATTCAGCACAGTAAAAAACAGGGGTTTTGCATGAAACTCAAAGCGATATAAACTGAATATTATTGACAGACGTCTAACCTCTCTGAAACCACCGAAATCATCTGTCACTATGAAACATTCATAAATAGCCAGAGCCATCTTTTGAGAACGGACCGAACTAATTTGTACTCCCAATGTATTTTCGATTTCTGCGAAAGAAGTGAATCGGTGACCCGCCAAATATTCCTAAACATTAAAATTATAATGAATAAAAACAAAATGATTCAACAGATTAATCAAAGTATTGTTCATCGCCGGCTACTACTTTTTCCCACCTCTCAGGCAATTTTCGAATTACATCTCGAAAAAATGTCTCGTCTTTTGAGGCGATCCAAGTTAGGAGCCAATTTTCGATTTCTGCGAAAGAAGTGAACCGATCACCCGCCAAATATTCCTAAACATGAAAATTATAATGAATAGAAATATCATTGATAACGTTTGAGTCAAATATTGTTAACAATGATGTTTACACAACATCAAGAACTACATACTTGAAAACGTTACATGTCACAAAATATCATTGCGACAACGTCGTGCAGTGATAATTTCTCGCTTATACCGAGTGGGACGGTCGGTAAACGACAGCCATTCGATTATAATCGACGCAGTTGTTCGAAGCGCGTGCGTGCACACGCTTCTCCTCTCTCGTTAAGACAATCAATTCGCCGCGCGACACGTATATGCAAAATTTATGGAAATCGGGCGGTGGGTGTTTTCGGCGCGGCCGCAAAACCGGCAGCGTCGGGATGCAAGCGTGACGCAATTTGCGTTATATCGCGGACAAATTAGAGACATGCCCCCGGGACGCGTGCATGTCGCGTTTGTCGCGCGAAAACACGTGAAACGCGCTGCTCGTGTTCCTCTTTCCGTGACGGTTGCGCAACGGAACAAGTATATACATACGTAACTTTGCACCACATATTTTATGCTTTGCGCGTGCGTCTCTCTCTCTCTCTCTCTCTCTCTTTTCCCCCCTTTTTCCCTCTTCCCCCGGGCGTATGATAATGGCAGGGCATTTTCCATAAATTCCATGCCGCACGTACGGAGGCAAAACGCTATATAAACCGCCTCTCTCAATGGTAGTCGCACACTCGAGGCAGTGAAATCTCTCGAGATCGGCGGGATAGAGCGTCGTCCGCTTTAGAAACAATATATGTTCGTGTGCACCTTCAGTCGAGCGCGCGCGCGCTCGCGCAAAAGCAAAGGTAACTGGTACTTTGCGTAACGAACGAATCAGCGCCGAATGAATATGACGTAACACACAGCGGATTAATATGGGAATCGACAGCTCGAGCTTCCCCCCCGAGATCGCGAGCGACCGTTCTAAACTGATATTACCGGCCACAATCGGCGGCGAACGGGATTTTTCTCGCGTCTCTCCCCTTCTGCGCGCGCGCGGCGCGGATATAAATTAACATTGCGCAATGTTTATTGCGCGAGACGCTAATCACGAGCGCTAAGGAGCCGTCGATGCAGGGGAGCTCTCTCTCTCTCCCCCCCCCCCCCNCCCCCCCCTCTCTCTCTCGTCTATCTCGGAGTTGGCGACGGTAAAAACGAAACAAGGTGAAGCCTGGCCGCTCGCTCGATCGCGCCGATTGAACTCGCTGTGTAACCTCCACGTTCCCGCGCGTTCCATTCGTTCGATATCGGCGATATCGGCGCAGGCAATCGGCGAAGGCTGCTTTTGGTCCCCGGCCGGCTGGTGGACGAACAGTCTCGACTTGATTACGTGAAATAATAGCGAGTATCCCTCGCAAGAGAGACAGAGAGAGAGAGAGAGATACGGCGGCTGAGATAAACGTGACGCGCGCGACATCTGACAAATGAGTTATGTGCAAATAACGCGCTTCTCGCGCAAGACTCGCGCGGCGAACTTTCCTCCGCCTCTGAATGCGAGCGTCGCTCCGCGACGAGGAGACCGGATTACGCGAAACGATCTTTCGTGCGATCACTCGTGGCTTCGCTCGTCGAGACAGATCGCTCTATTCACCTGTCCCGAGCAGAAAATATCTGATCGGTTTGAACAAAAGACTAATAGCTACCCAGGCAGGAGAAAAAATTACGTAATGACGACAAAATGACAGTGAGATGTTAAAAGGTCATTTTTTAATCATGACAGAAGATTTATAAAATTATGGTTTTGAAATTTATTTTGAGATTTAATTCTTTCCGAATAGACCGTTCAATATGTTTAAGTTACACCTGTTAGTAACTATATACAAAATTGTTCGAGTAAACAATATTCTATTTATTGTAATTACAAATAATTTTGTTGTTATATAATTAATAAAATTACAAATTATAATTATTATACTCTAAATATAACTGAAACTTCTTTTGCAATAAAAATTTATTTGTGAGGAATAGTTGCGTATTTTTATTCATACAGCACACTTTGCCCGACAGATATCATTTTGAGATATCGCAATAATCATAGGATATCTTAAACGACGTCTAAAACGTTGTTACAATAATATTTTATAACATATATAATGTTTTCACATATGTAGTTCTTAATGTTATATACAAAGTCAATATTAACAATATTTGACTTAGACGTTAAAAATAATATTCCTATGATTTTGATATTTAGGCATATTATATTATATCAAGTAACAATTTAAAAATATTTATAAAATATTATGTTAAAATGTTTATAAAATCAACGTTTCAAAAGATTGATTTAACGTTTTCTTGCTGCGATTCATTTTATAGTCTGTCTAATAAGAACGTGACCGACATAATTTTTCAGCTATTTATTATAAGAAAAATAAAAAAGTAATATATGTAGCACTCGATTTGTACTATAACGCTTTTATATCAACAAGTCGTCGTTGAGCGTCAGGTGCTGTTCGTATTCTAAAGGTTAACGGATGCCACATTAGTTTTGGCATTGAGAAAACTCAAGCATAGAATTTTGCACATATATATAAATGTAAAACATTATTGTAATGTTATATCAAATTTCTTTTAGAAAAAAAAAGGAAAAAAAATAAGCCTCCTCGACGTGGAATCGAACCACGGTCTCCCGCTTAAAGTAAAGCAACGGCGTACTTGCCACTATACTATCGAGGACATCTCGAGAGCTCATTCTAGATTTGTGGTATACCTGTTGCCTGCTGGTATACGTTCGATTGTTCAATAAGAAATTATCCCTAGACATGATAGATTTGCTACAACAATAAGAAAGATAAAAAATATAATAATTGCGTTAATATCAAGTGAGATATAAATTTGTGAATGTTAATTTGTGCAAAAATTGCTACATTTGAAATTTGCATTAAAATTTTCATTAAAATTAATATTTGAAAATATTAATATCCAATAATTAATATAAAATATTTGTATCTTGATATTAACACATATATGTTATTTTTGAGCTTTCTTATTATTGCAACAATATCTATCATGTTTCAGAATACTTTCTTCTTAATCAACAAAGTATATACTAGTATGTTATTAGTATACCACAAACATAGAAAGCATTCTCGAGATGTCCTCGATGGTATAGTGGCAAGTACACCAGCTTTGATTCAAGCTTGGAGACCGTGGTTCGATTCCACGTCGAGGAAATTTTTTTTTCTTTTTTTTTATAAAAAAAACTTGACATAATATTACAATAATATTTTACATTTATATATATGTGTATGGTAGAACTTTAAGTTTGAGTTTTCTCATATATCAAAGTTAATGTGGCTCGTATTTTAGCAACAGAACCCGCTGACAGGCAATTCGAGCAAATTGGCAGCAGAAATCGCGCAGAGCTTGTGCTGGGCCAAACTGCGTGAAGAGAAAAAGCTTTCTTCGGATTTAGTATTTCTATTTATGATCAAATTGGGTGCAACAAAATTTATTAAATGGAAGAAGAGGATGCTTTGCGGATCGTTCGATTGCGTGGCATTCGCGGCAGGCGGTCTCTCTCTCTCTCTCGTTCGCTCTGTCCGCTCTGATCGCAAAGAAGGACCGGCTCCTTTCTACCTTCGAGCGGTCGACGTGGCGTCACACTCGGGACGTCCGGTCGAATCACGGGATCAAGTGAATCGAGATATGATTTTCCCATTCACTTCTGCGTGCCTCACGCAGTTAATTATATGCCCGTTTCGCTCTTACTCTCGGTCCACGTCCGTCTCGCCTGGCATGAGCGCGAGGACACCGTCGCCGTTCTTGATTAGCTTGCACTCTCTGTTCCCCCGACTTTCGGTCCCACCTGTCGCCCATCTCTTTCTGTACGAACGTTTCGCACGTTGATATCGATACGGGGATGCGTCTTCGTACGTAACGAACGAAGCCTCTCCATTTCTCCCTCTCTCTCTCTCTCTCTCTTTCACACATACACGCTCTCACCCTCGAGCATTCCTCTCATCCGATCCGACGTCGATTTCCGCGTGGATAATCGTTCTGTAATTATAATCCCACACAGGCTACAATAGGATATGCCGGGTAAAACGGGTATTCTTTACACTTTCACCTCTGTTTCCAATACCGTTGTCGTTGGAGCGCGTGAACGAACTCGCCGCTCGGACAGCTCGTCCACTTCGCCGAGAGTTCGTCGAGAGATCTCGCCGGAGGCTCTCGACTTTTCCGGCCGATTATATGGATACGCATTACACGCGTTTCACATAAACTTTGCCCGATCGTTTTGTTGTAATACGCTCTGAAGCTCGGTCCACAATGTGCTCTTTGCGTCTTGTTTCTTGCCCTCTCTCTCTCTCTCTCTCTCTATCTTTTCCACAAGTAAATGGAAGCTCTTACGAAAGAAAGTTAGAGAGCAAAAAACAAGACGCAAAAGCACTTAACACCGACGATCGTCACGACGAAAATCGCCCGTCCCACCGGATGTACGTTCTCCGGAAGTTCCGGACGAGTTTCTTGGCGAGATAGAAACGGTCCCACTTCTTGGGAAGCCCGATATCGCGCAGCAGACAGTGTCGATTAATCGGTGCAATCATCGCGTAATTCTCGTCTCTGCTGATGTAATTGTACGCTGAAACGGCTGGAGTGTAATTCGTCCTTTAATGAGCGAGGCAATTGACGCGATGCCGCCGACTCTGTGCGTTGCCAATCACATCAGTATCAGAGATGCCAGAAATGTGCTATTTCTTTTTTAACGCCTATGACATAACGTTTCTATATAAGGCAAATTAGAGTTTTACCACACATTTTCTAACAACCGGTTTGTTTCTAACAACCGGTTCTTCCCGACCAATCTCTTGGAATCGATTTTTCCTCGGCGAAAGCGTGCTGGAGGAACAAAGCGCCGGTGTGTGATACATTTATGTATAAAATACACGTACAGACAAGAAGGTGGGATCTCGCGGGAAACAGTTGTGTAACAATGTCGATATACGCCAAAGCAAGCCTGGTAGATAGATAAATAAACCATAAGAGAACACGGTGCTGAAGCATTATGTACTTTCCAGGAAGTATCCGAGGCGGAAGGGGTTCCTGCGGTCGCCGGGGTCAGGAAAATCGATATATGCGCTCGGCACTAGAAGCTGCTGGCTGCTGCATTGCGACTCCGCATCTTCGTTCCGGTACAAGCGACTGCACAATTTCTTCCGATGCGAAGGTGCCTTCTACTCCAGTCACTTAGTCACATCTCTCTCTCTCTCTCTCTGTATTAATTCTACCGGTTAAGTTCTTCAATTCTCCCTCGTCTTGATTAAATATTACGCAGATACATAATATATAAAGGAGATATGAGAAATGAAAAGACGATTTGTGTGGAATAATCCAAGTAAACAAAAAATCATTAACACGTTATTATACAAAGATATCTTGTAACATGTGCCATTTTCAAACATGTAGTTCTTAATGTTGTGTATCTAATGCCATTGTTAATTTCTTTTTCGAACATGCCTGTACATGCAGCTTTCGTATCAGGTTGAATATTATATTTGCATTATAGATAATGTGCAAACGCATTCGGAGAACATAGAGACGGGTTTTTTCGGAAAGATTTCTAAACTCGCGCGCTGAATGAAATTACAGAATCTCTGTGCAGTTATCTTTGATCTCCCGTGGATGATGCAAGGACGGCGAGTGGCACCGGGAAGTAAGGAAGAGATTCATCAATAATAGGCGAACCGACGAACGACGACGAGTACCGAAGACCTGTGGGAAGCGCGGTGCCAAGCATCATTGGCACTATAAGGAGGAATGCTTCTATAGCCGAAGAAAGTTAAGAATTTTCACCTCCTAGAGAAAGCACACCGCATGACGCATGTAGATATTACGCCACGTATAGTGAATCCCCCTTTGCCGCGGCCTTCGATCCGAGTTGCCGTTAACGCGGCACGACACCTTCTCTCGCCAGGTCGTCTCTCGTCTTCGTTCTTACCGTTGAAACTTCCTTATTCCTATCCTTCCTTCCTGCTCTGCACACTCTTTCATCTCTTGTCGACTTATCACTTATTTATCAGTTTTACTTTTGCGCTGTTCGCGTCAAGCCGCCCTTCCGACAGATACAAGCTTAGCTTCACATCTAAGAGTGACAAAGCTGATATCTCTGACACAGAAATTCGGTTATATACATCTCTCTTGGAGGAAAGCGCCATATTATATTTCTTTCCGTCTTCCGTCCGTTGATGCGCGTGTCTATTTTGTTGCCGTACATATATAATTTTTTTTTTTAGTATAAAACGTGTAATTTTGTTTAGTATAAAACATATTTTTACATAAAATTCTGCCGACTTCATTTATATAATATTACAATTACATTAAATATAATTTTTTTAATATTATTCAGAGTGGACATATAACTATCTGTTAATATTTCAGAAATATTACTTAATACTAAATAATATTAACTAGAATATTATTCGAATATTACGTCCAATATTCTAAGAATATGCCCGGAATATTATTTAATATTAAATAATATCACGCGCTTATAGGGCTGAGAAGAGGGATAATTCCAGCCGGTCCAATGTGGACGTGGCGCTCGACTCATGTTTTTCAGAAATCTTAACTGGCATATCTCTTTTGCATGCACGAATTACGCGAGGATCCGTGCGGAAACGCGACCCATGCGCGGTAACGCGTAGTAACGTAAAATCGCGATAGCAACCACCACCGCGTCGCATCACTTCTCAAGTACGAAGCAGAGTCACACGACTCTTACGCAATGCGGGTTGCAGGCGATTACGCAGTAGGCAAGCGAATTTCACACTCGGACAACTAACGGCCCAAATGCACGGAACAGTGAAATATGTCTTTAAAGGACACTTTGTGGAACCGGGGGGAAGTTACGTGCCAATTGGAGGTCGAAATATTTCACAGAAATAACGCATATTTTCATCTAAGAGAGATACAAAGAATGATTACGGAGTTACGCATTTTGTTACGAATTTTATTTACACGCAGTATTTTTCAATTTAATTATACAGCCATTGTAACTTTAGTAATTAATTAATAACTATATATACATATAAATAAAGGAGATTTTTTAATTCATAATTTAAATCCTGAATGAATAGCTACCACACCAAAGGTCAGATTCGTATATGTTACGTTCCTAAATCCTGCTGTTTCGATCATATCCTGAAAATGTAACAAAGAAATAGTTAAATGTGTACACACACACACACATACACACACGCACACACAAAACTAAAAGTAAAAAATATATTACTTAATTTTTATACACAACTACGTGAATAGGAATGACAAATTTAATGATTATGGAACTCATAATAACTATGAATAATTAAAGAGCAATACTAATATTTACGTAAAATGTTACAATTGAAATGTGTAACGATTCTTAATTATATGATTACATGTAAGAAGTGACAAAATAATACTGTACTTTGAAATCCTCTTGCTTTGGGAACTTCCTTATGCTTTCTACGAGATACTGATAAGCGTCCCACTGTCCTGCGATTAGTTGCCCCATCACGGGTATTATTTGAAATGAATATTGATCGTACAACCTGAAACAGATGTTAAACAAAATTTCACTACATTTTACACTTATCTTTGTGTATGATTATTTCAACATGTTCACTGCGGAGACTTATTCGGAGGACTCTGCCCGAAAGTCACCTCCTAGTTTTTATTCATGTAATTGTGTAAAACAAACTTTTAGTTTGATAATATTGTTACATCCCAAGACATTTACGATACGTTCGCCCTATCCCCCAAATTAAACAAAAACTGTAATTGTTTAATTTCTTATTCGTACTTCTTGTAAACATACTTCTACTACCAATTGTAGACCACGTTCTTTCCATAAGTAAATATTAGTTTTTACAGAAGAAAGATAGTAAGAAACAAGGCGCAAAGAGCGCATTATACACCAAGCTTTACGTCGCTTACATGTGTGGCGCTGATAACGAACGTGTTGAAGTACATACCATTGTAAAGTCTGATTGTTAATTTGACTAAATTCCAGACACAAGAATCTCCCACCTGGTTTTAAGACTCTGTAAGCCTCGGACAATGTCTATAACGAATATACATTAATGCAGCTATATAACTAATACTCAACACTTGAATATAACATTTACCTTATCGATGTGCGTTACGTTTCTTATACCGAATGCTATGGTGTAGGCGGTGAAGGAATCTTCAGGAAAGGAAAGATTCTCCGCATCCTCCTGTTTCCATGCAATACTGCAATTACTGTCTTGCAACAAGCCTAGTTCACTCGCTCGTTTTTGTCCAACATTTAGCATATTTTGGTTTATATCACATACGGTTACATGACTAGATACATTGTGCGGATTTGGGGTATTCCTCAGAAAGTTTATATACCGAAATGTAATGTCGCCTGTGCCGCCGGCAGAGTCCAAAAGATGAGTACCATGAGTTGGCCCTAATTCCTGTATGAAGATATCCTTCCAGATACGATGGATACCCATGCTCATTGCATCGTTCATTTTATCGTAAGAATCAGCTATATTTTGAAATATGGTGTACACTAAAAGGAATATCGTTAAAATAAATATTATGATTTACTTTATGATATAAATTCATAAATATATAACTATTTATATATAAGATTTTTTCAAGAATACGTCAGTTTGTAATGTTAGCAGTTACACAGCATATGAAGAAAATGTTATTAACATAATGTTATCAAGGAGAATTTCAATGTGTTTATTCCTCGACAAAAGATAATTAATATCTTATTAACAAATTAACAAATTCATAGAGAGGTGTGTAACCTCTCAGATTTTTCATATGAAAAAGATGAGACCGACATCTGATAGATATAATAAAATCTTCACCTTCTTTTGCCTTCTCAGATTCCTTGATCTTTTGAAAACCAAAATGTGTCGTCTTCTCGTCATCCTCCAGCGATGTGTTTGATATTTTCGAACAGGCACGCTTGATCACCGCCGCTTTTACCCGCCGGCTCAATATTTGACTTCTTCTCATTAAATTTATGCAAACATTTGTACTGCCTATCATAATGCACGCGAGTAAACGTTCAAACTAGTAACGAAAAAACGGAATAGAGCTGGTTTGTTTCGACAAGCCGGTCAAAGGTAACGGTTACAAATTTCCTGTTTTTACTGGCGGCTTTTTAAGGCGATTTGTTTTCCTTTTGGCACAAAACTGGGGAAGCACTGAACGAATAATAATGTACAGTTATAATGTGTGAATATCTAGATGTGGTGCGTCCAACGCGAATAATGCTAACGTATAAATAACGTCGGCATCGAAACAGACCCTTAAGTTTTGATCCTTAGCCTAATTAGATTTGCCACCAGATGGCGTATCTAGTATATTTTTTTAATTTTCTGAACTTAGTGTTTAGTATTTAATGGAAGAAATTTTCCCGAAATGTCGGAGAATCTCACCTCGAATAGAAACTGCGAGATTAAAATTCAAGAATTACAAAATTCATATATATATAGGAATGAACGTTACGTTTAGGTATTTTGTAATATATATACAATGGAACAACGTTTATCATTAACTTAATATTATAAGAATATTACATGTAACGTATATTTATATAATTTTAATGCCATTCAGAAAATTGTATATATATATATATCTTAACAATATTATATGTACTCTATTTATACATAATTCTATATATAATTTTTTTAATGTTGATAATCCGCAAAAAAACGCACACATTAAATGTAAATTATGTATATCATATCATAAATTGTCAATATAACTGAACGATTGTTGACTTAAACATGAAAAATAAAATTCATTTGATCAGTACGTGACCAGATAAGGTAAAATCTCAAGATTTCTTGTTTTTTCTCTCTCTCTCTCTCTCTCTCTCTCATTCCAAAGGAGATATAAATAGAAATTTAACAATCTAAGCCTATCCTTGATACTACATACAATATCGTAATAATTTAAATGTGTGTGCAGATAGATTGACGAAGTAGGTAAAATACGTTTCAATTAAATTCATATAAATTATCTCTGCGTACATGTATAGTTCGTTATATTATGCTAACTCACAAATTGATAATCCAACATTATCCGACGGTGTTTAATTAAATAAAACGGAATTCGGATCTTCATTGTCTAGCTGTTTCACGTGCCTCAAAACGTCCTTCTTCGTAATTACACCTAAAAGTCGCCTGCAAGAAGAGATACGCACACCTTGACATCAATATCAACACAGCACACGCATTAAACGCGCGTCAATTTAAATCATTCATACGCACCCGTTATGTGTAACTAGAGTTTGACGTAATCCCAATTTTCTAAACATATCTACTACTGTTTCCATGGGAGTTTGGTCTGTGATAGTGATGGGAGCCATGTCCAAGATCTTCTTCAATTTTAAAGGCGGAGGCGAATGGCTCTGGATATTGTTTCCATTGGTAAATATAACCAACGATTGCCGGGTGATCTCTTCGATCATCCTCTTGGCGTTAGCAATGGCTAGATTGAGGTCCCGCCGTAAAACGAAACCGACGAGATACTGAGATTCTTTAGAAACTATAACAGGAAAACCGTTGTGCTCGGTTTCCTTAAGCAGATTCTCCACGTCTTCAACCGTCATGGAATCCTGGGTGAGAACATGAAGAGCCTCGTTTCGTCTGTAAAATCAAATAAAGATGTCACATACATCTTTAAATCGCGTGCACTTATTATAATAGCGCTAATACCTGCGCACATATGTCAAATATCAAGGGTACCCATAAGTAATGTCGTTTTTCTTTTTTTCCAGATCGAATAAACATTACCACCTTATTCGTGACTTATTATTGCATTGCCCGATACTAATGAAATGTATTGACACTTAGTGTGCTTGTGTTATGAAATTTTGAAAGGAGAATTAAATGTTAAATAAAATCAAATTTCGTATAAATATCAAAAAGCGACGTTACTTATGGGAACCCCTGATATTTACGTAAGTATCTCATTCTGCTCACTTGGGCTGCATGACGTCCGCCGCCAGAGTGGTGTGCTGAAATTCGTCCTTACTGTCCAGAAACGGATAACCGTTTAAGCCGATATGCGCGTCGTAGATGCCCTGCTTCCCGAGGGCGTCGCCAACCCATTTGCTCGCCATGGCCGCGGCCATCAGAGGAACGATGTACCGCACGCCGCCGGTTAATTCGAACATAATGACAACCAGCGAGACCGTCATTCTGGTCACACCTCCTAAAACTGCGGCGGCCCCGACCATTGCATATAATCCCGGCGTAATACAGTCGACACCTGTAGAACACTCCTCACTGAACATCCATATGTGAGGATAATTATAGGCAAGTTGTTCCATTCCTATGCCCACGATACGGCCCATGATCGCTCCAAGGCACAAGGACGGGATGAACAGGCCGCACGGTACTTTCATGCCGAACGTGAATATCGTCATGATGAGCTTCAGTATCAGTGCCAACACGAGCAGCCATATGGCTTTGTAAACCCCCGGCCCGGCTGCGGCGATCTCAATCGCGGATTTCACAGCGGTGAAGTTTCTGTTGTAGTCACTGTCGGGGCATAGAGAGGTAAAGCACTTCCGTTTCAATAACTCGTGGACCAACGTGCGACAAGTAACTCGTTGTATGCGATATCGATCAGCCGACACTGATCAAAGTCAATTCCCGGGCAAAACAAGTTCATATATAATTATATAAAATTGATATACATCAATCTTGTCTCCATATGGCAACATATATAATTATATATGTCCGTACGAAATGAAGAGGAAATAAAAATGTTGAGCGAAAAACGGAAAAAATGGTTTGATTCGAACAGGCGTTTACACCGTGAGTAGTCATGAACATAAGCATTTACTTAAATTATATTCGTATAACAACTTCTTTTTAGACGTGGAACATATATAATATTTGATTACATATGGCCGAGACAAAATTCATTCGTATAATCATTCTTTGCCGGGTTTCCGTTAATTATATCAAAGCTTTTCTTTGAGCATAGAAAGATCACTGCCTTTTGTACTGACCATAATATATCCACATTGGACACTCCGCATTGGCTGAACAATAAATAAATTAGTTGACTGGTGCTCATCCTTGTGTATGGATTAGGATATCCAATCACCGCAGTCACTACCGTGACAATTAACACTTCGGTGACAGGATACTGGCCCAATTTCGAAGTTTTACGATATCGGCACCAGAACAGGTTTGCCTTGATAAATAACGTCGCTATCACGCCCTGTCGAAAATACGTGCGTTAAGAAGTATTATTTTCGTCACAAATTTAGTAACTTGAGATCTCGTAAAAACGAGAGATCTACTCACCCCAATTATTCCGAGCATTACAAAAGGAATCAGTTCGAAGAATATCCAGGGTTTATTGTATTCCACGTAAAACAAGACTGAATGTTCATTTCCAAATGGGTTGATGGAACGTAGCACGAAGGCGGCTATCAGGGCGCAGAAGAACGATCGCCATAAAGTTTTTAACGGGAAGTAATAGCTGACCTGAGACAAAATAAATATATAATTTCTACATATACATATGTGTGTGTATATGTGTGCGTAATTAGAGAAAATATATAAATTATAACGTTATTTCTTTTGCGAACAGTCCTGAATTTTAAAGTACTGGGAATACTTCGAAGTGAAAAGTTGCTGTTCATTATCCAAATCGTACCTCTTCTAAGCTAAACAAAACGCCACCGATCGGAGCACCGAAGGCGACGGAAACTCCAGCTGCAGCCGCGGCGGACAGAATTTCTCTCTTCTTCGCTTCGTTCCTACCGTACTTCGGAAATAGATAAGAAAATATATTTCCTATACAGCATGCAATGTGTACCATAGGACCTTCTTTCCCCAAGCTTAGACCCGCTGATACGGAAAGAATCAGGCCCACCGATTTGATAATCAATGTCCATTTGCCTAGGTATCCGCGGATGATGAAACCGCTCAAGATCGTTTTTATCTAGAAGGGAAGAATTTGTATACAGCGGAACGTACGGAGAGAAATTGTCAAAAATTCAACGAGAAGATACGTGGTGCGCAAAAAAAAGAAAAAGGTTTACTTCGGGTATTCCGGAGCCGCAGGCGTAAGGTGCAAACATTCGCACCAGAGACGCGGAAAGCGACGCGAACAAAAGGGCCCACGCTATGTAAAACAAGTACGAGATTGTGTACGGCCCCGCACCCTCTTTTGATTGATTGAACATCTCAGGCCACGTCAACCACTGCAATGAGGATATTCTCTCGTTAATCGGATCGAAGAGAAATATAATTTCAGTATACAAACAACTTCCAGAGAATGATATCAAAACTCCGCAGTAGTAGTTGTGACTGTCCTTGTTTGATGATGTTAGAAGCGAGCGAAAACGCATGCCGACATTTTTTGCGTTATACTTATACAAGTCAAAAGATGTGTCTACAAAATGATGATCGATTCAGCAAACTTGTAAAATTGGACGAACCAACTTTTCTTCCACTCGAACGATTAATAAGCAGTCGTAAAATCAACACTGACAAAATCAGGTGAGAAAAGAGGTTGGAGAAAGTTCCGTGTCCAATTAATTTTGCTTCTGACGTTATTAAACGAGGACAATCATAGTGCGACTATTTCGGGGCCTTAAAAAGTATATAGATTATAGATTATGTGCAAACGAAAAATCGTACGCTTTTACCTGCGAACAATTGCCACCATCGAACGTGGTCTCGTTAAAACTCCAACAACATTGCTCTTTATTCAGCCAGAAGGCTTGCGGACAGATACCGAATTTGAGATCTGTCATCCAGGAAGCGCCAATATCTATCACACCGGCGGCCACACCGGTAAACAGTCCGACCAGTAAAACGCATAGCCATCCGGACCACGCATCATGAGCTCCTTTTATTAAGCCCCAGATGGAATCGTGTTTCTTCTTAACGATATATCGGTGTCGCATACGATCCCGCGCAATATCTCGTTGCCAATCAATAGTATGAAAGTCATCATACTGCCCGATGCCGGGTATATCGTCAGAGTCAACTGAAACTAATAAAACAAATTATAAAACTCTTTATCGTGAAAATAAATTCGATATGAATAAACTCGATATCTGTGTGTGTGGTGTGTGTGTATATGATGCACGCACGCAAGTATGATAAAACTTGTTGACGCACTTTGGTAGCTTTGTGGAATTTTACTGATGAATATATAAGGATCACGTGAACAATATACAGAACAAGATAATGTAAATGTAAGAGAATGATACGACTGAGAATTGTTATGTGAAAATATTTTTCGTGACTTTTCACCATTCATAATCATTTGTTTAAAATTTAGTATGTATGCAAATACAACAGAATTTTACAAACACAGAAAGTTAAAAATATATCTTAACCGTTACTTTGCGCTATATTCTGAATTCTCTTTCACCAATAAAAGTGCCTCTAAAAGTGCCTTAGGAATCATCTGATTGGTTGAGAAGCTGCATTTTTATCGATAAAAGAGAGAATACGGATTTTTTTATTTGTTTCTTTTTCTTGTTCGCATTTATATTTGTATATACTTAACCATTTAATTACAAGTGTTTAAAGGTCTAAAATAGTGTAATTTGTGACATGTATAAGCTGCTTACCAACAAAAGTTAAGTATTGTTACAATGGTAGATAATCAAGAAGCGAATATGTATGTATTGTTATATTCCACTGAAGAGACAAAGAAATCAGGCCTATAATAGTAAAGCTAACCCATTTTTAATAAGCGCTAATAATGAATGCTATCGAACAATAATAATTTTGATATACAATCAGGCTGATTTGAGATATTTAACCACAATTACCACAATTTTGTTGTCTCTATATTTATTTTCTCACTAATTAATTAAACTGGCATTACTTTTGTGTTAACTTACACATTTTGCCACTATGACATGCCGTGAGTGCTAAGAAATTTGTTTCAATGGTTTAACTGGTATCACTCAGGATAGACGTCAGACCAGATGGACAGATCAACAGACATCCCTGAAGTTTCTTCAGCAGGAAGAAATAATGTACGATGATATTTAAAACTAGTATGTTTGTCAGGCCAATACAAAACTACCAAATCTGATTATGCAAAGTTATGCATGTGGAATATTATATCATATGTTCAGTCTTATAAAAATTCTCATACACTTCTTTACAAGGCTTGCTAGAGAAAAAAAAGATGGAAACTCTACATAGTACTGTTTGGTACCGAGCAATATGCTTTTTCACGATAAGAAACTTACTGTGGGAAGATGCATCATCAATGCGAACACAATCCGACAAGATGTTGTTGTCTGTGTGATGAGATGTGTGATGATTGATGTCCAACATGTCGTCGTCGCTACTTAAATTCGTCTCGTGTCTTACAGATCCAGTTCGCAGTCGTACATCTTCTGTATTAGCGGTGTCACCATACTTTATATTCTGAAAATTGCAAATTACGTCAAGCGCAGCTCTGCACACGACACTCAAGTCTTCTATTGAACTTGATATTACACATAGTAGACATCTATATCTCTCAATATCATTGTATTAGAGCAACAACAACAATATGTGTAAAGAAACAAGAAGATGCAGACTGATGTTGAATTCATACCTTAGCATCAACTGAATGATATGTTGTGATAGCATTTGAACTAGAATGAGGGATCGCAGAATTCAGAGATGCTGTACCCTTCAGTGGAAACTTCTCCATTGCATCGTGATAATCTAATTTTACACAAATAAAATATTTCACAGCATTTAAGACAATACGAACACACAAGCTTGTTACCGAGAGAGTTCGCTACACTAGAAACTGAGAAGCGAGAACTTTAATACTGTACTGAATACACCGTTCAAGGCACAGCAGTAATATCTCATTTAATCGGCTTTGCCGTAATCCTCTTTAAGCATGCTATAGTAGACGTGCTATACGACATATAATTAGAATATGACGTATTTATGAGCCGGATAATATTTTATCTATTCTAAATTACAAGAGAATATATAGTATCTGCATAGTGTCGCGTACGTAGTATGAAAAATTGTTCGTAAACATACTGTTTCCCTTTCTATTCATTTCAACGAGCGATCTCATTACTTGCATCTTCTTGCACAGAGAATTTGTTAAAAAAAAAACACACCGTCTAACACACACACACACACATTACGCATGCCAGAGCACAATGTCGACTGAGCTGAAGCGTCGCAGACGATTCGCTCAGCTAGCTTTTTCAAGGCGAATGGAGTTGCCACGGTCTGATAAAATAAGATATACATGTGATCAGCACCGTATGATAATTTTCCATCTTTTCGTCTTTAGAACGAGCATTGCAAAACTTTTCCGCTATGAGCGAAGTTGCAGAATTTTGGGCAAAGTGTTGACACTCCTGAAATTGCGCGCGTATTTCGCAGCTGATTTCTAAATATTCCTTGGTCCAATACTCTGTCGTTCACGCGAGGTTACCTTCTGTGATTTGCGCGACACGTACTAGAGCGCTCGTGAACTCACCATTTTTAAGGAATAATCTCCCCGTTTTATCACTGATAAGAGCAGATCACCATCGTCGTGCGTGTGCGCGCGGTGCGTCCTTCGGACGTAGATTTAATTCTATCAGATATTAATTTGACAGTTTCACGAGAAAATACGAGCTCATCGAACTGCGAACTCGACGACGACGAACAAATCCCTTCGAACGTGCGAACTGAAAGGGAGGGGGGAGGGGGCGGCACACAGCTGCTTTTCCTTCATTACGAGAAATTCACACGTTTAGCGCCGCAAACGTTCCGACCGCGAATTTACCTGCAACCGTTTCCCGCGTCCAATGAGAAGACGCGCTCTCTGGGAACTTTTACGCGCGACACTTTTGTCTCCAGGAAACGAATGCTTCTATTGGATACCGATTGTCGTGCGTCGGACGTCGGGAGCGCGTGTGAATCTACCTTTAGCGGTCGTCGGAGAGAGTTCCTCGATTCTGCGCTTTACCTCAGTCCTCCAAGGATCAAGACCGAAACGCGGTGTTCCAGGTTTATGGTGCGTAAGAATACAAGGACCTGTTACTTGCGAATATGCGATCGTAATTTGTCTTGACGATGTCGCGTCACGACTTATGTAAAATGCCAATGTCTTCTACACCTTTTGTGTATGCAATACAATAAGAATGTTAATCACTTGTCACTAACATTTAACGTAACTCTCAATTTATGCGAATACTGTGTGCCTTAAAAAAAAATATTGAAATTGTATTTTCTCTGAATAGGAAAATATATGAGAAGTAATGTCATTTTTCATTGTAAACTTTACAGTAACTTAATTGTGAATGGTTTTATATGTTTAAATTTGTATTTGATGTTACACTCATACACAGAATTTAAAATTTAACTATCGTATTTATAATTCACATGTTTACATTTAGAAACATTATCTTCTTCTTGTGTTATTTAATTCCTGAGAATTTGAAAAAAATGAACTTATTGAAACTGATAAGCTAAATTTGTTCTCAAGCAGTTAGAAATAACTGATATGTATTTGTTTTTTATATTTATATTGCAGGTTTTTATATTAGATTTTTATTAGTTTTCAGAATTAACTCTCTCTCTCTCCCCCCCCCCCTATCTTTCCGTGGCAAGGATTTTTCAGTAAACGAGATTAGGATGTTCTTAACAATTTTTTACATGATGGCCACATTCCTGAAATCACGATCAACATCAATTTTGAGAAAATATTTCCATACTATTTTCAAAAGAGAGAATGATTCTTCTATTTTACTCTATTCTAAGTTGCCTAGATATGTATCCCCAACAGAAGGTAAATATCATACACACATACGTATTTATATGCAATAAATTTTATTTGATTTCATTAGAGATTGTACAGATTACTGATAAGATTATATTTAACAATACAGTCTATAAATAAAGCTAAACTAATATTTTAGTTTCAGTACAGTAGAGTTCAGTCAAATTCGATGCATTTCAAGTAGAAAATTTTATAAATCTAATTTTACAAAGGTGTGATAAGAAACATTGTATATATATAATTATTTATTTATTTAATTATTTATTTGATTCAAGATATACCAAAGGAAGGAATACAGAGTGCATTTAACGATAATATTCTAACTCCCTCGGAATATGAGAAATATTTTATTAAGGTACCCAGACTTGGAGAATTACTCTTTCAAGAGGGAAATATAAAATTATACACGATATGTCCTCAGGTATGTATAATATCACATAAATGTTACGTGACGTATATCCGTAGAGTGTCACGACTAATGACTAATAACGACCGATTAACACGTAACTAATATTTTGTAAGCAACAAATTGGCATATCAGGCTGGCTGGCCTGTGAGAAGTTCTTGTTTCCCTTTTGTGGGAATGGTAGCTGTCAGATTTTAAGTGCATCTGATAATATGCACATTCTCGTTGAAGCTGCTTTCGGAGCACGTGAAGTTCAGGCCTCAACAATCGCTGCGAAAGTATAACGTCCAAATTATTATCTATTAACATCTCTCTATCACGCATACATAGTTATATATAAGCGGCATATAACAACAATTATTTTCTAAATAATTCTACTTAACATAACGCATTATTTCATAGCTTGAAGATTACGGTCTAATCACGGCATGGACAGCAAATCCAGATAGCATTGATTTTATTTTAGAGACAGATATCGATCATATCACAAACTTCATGATTGCGATCGTTGGTGAACAATATTACATTAATAATAGGGTATCCTTCACGTGCATACAATGTATGGGTCGTTATCGCATTCAAAAATATGATATACTTTTCAACAACCTTATCTTCCTGCCTTTATCTTTTTAGCTGTAGCAGTATCGGGGAGGCCATGTAGTTATAATATCGAAGACCCGAATTCATCTTCAACTGCGAGTGAGTTGTATTAATTTATTTCTACCACAATCAGAGAATAGAAAATTATTATTATTTTTCCCATATTGTATTTTGTAATACATTACAAATATATAATTTTCCACACAGATGCGGTAAATGCGATGCAGATAGATTGGGATACTTATGTTGAGAAATTAATGGCATTAAGTGAGGCGGCTCAAGAAGCCAGCAGGAAGCAGATACCTCAAAAGATCACCGGATACGATGTGTATCCGCAAAATGAAGAGACAGACGCTGAAAAAACATTACCGACTACTCCTGTAGAGTCTGTAAAAAAATCGATAGATCTCAATGATACTGAAAATGGTAAGTCAATTTTAGTCAAGAGTAGCACAAGATTCTTTTGATTAGACGAAGAGAAATATAAAAGTGTATTTTTATTTTTTCATTACCTTCAGACACCGAAACGTCAGAAACGTCTCATTTAAGATCGACTACCGATGATAGAAAGAAGCACGACCTAGAGTCTTCGGTAACCCCAATTAATGCGAGTGCCCCGTCGAAAGAAGCACATACTGCCAGTAGTGTGACGAAAGGTCCCGGTGCTTCGGCAATAGCTCAATCATACGACGCTATGAAGAGAAAAGACAATATATTATCGAGCACGTCTAATGAGATTTCTACCAAAGATACGTACCAAAGCAAATCAACCGTAGAAACTAGGAATCTCCAAGCTCCTTTCACGTAAGTGATGCGTCTGCACCGTAATGCCTCATGCCTCTTTACATTACAATTAAAAGAGAACGATAATTACTTATAAATTATGCTTACTTACGACACTCCAGATTGAAAGGAGATGAGAAATCTAGTGGGATCGTTAAACCACCAAACGTAGTCATTTATGCAGATAGTCCAGACGCCATCAACAATGTAAAGACTGTACTAGGGAAAGCATTAGATCCAGATCGGTACGTTACTTTGATTTTCTTTATAGAATTTTAAAAGCGATTAAAAGGAAAAATATAACATTGGGCACAATTTCTTTTTGTAAAATTGTTTATCCCACAATGATTGACTATGACTAATTGGCTTCTCGTTTTTCAGATACATTATCTACGCGTTATCGAGAGAAACCGCTTGCTCCAACGTTTGGATAGATCAAGTTGCTTTAGTCGTTATTTGCGGCAACGTCGATTCCGAGGTGAAAATCCAGCTCGTCGAATACGTCGTACGCGGAGGTAAACTCCTGGCGTTATGCTCCGACATGCTTCACACTTTGCTGCCGTCGTTCAAGACCGCGGAGGTGCGTGAAAGTGAACTCGTTTATTTTTCCTACGGTAAATGGAAGCATATGCGTATGATGCATCACATATTTTGCTATCACGCGTCCCCCGTGCGAGCTCGTTTCTCTCAAGATCAGGAAGACATAAGGTAATAATATTTCTCTGGGTTTTAATAAAGAGTAGTAGAACTTACATACAAATAGAAGAATGAACACATATGAAATAATATTCAAACAAACAAGTAAAATAGGACACAACTTCGCAGAGCACCCGGACTGAATCCCCCGGCTTCGACCAGCGTCAAAGACAAGAAAGGGAATTCGCATTCGTTTAATGTGAAAGTACTGGGCACGGAGGAAACGTGGCACAATCCGAGTATACTGCTCGCCACTCTGGCGAGCAGCGGTGGTAAAGTGGTGTTCTCGCAAATTCACCTCGAGGTGGATCCAACGCAATACGAGTACGAGGAGGATAAATTCAAAGCGCTCAAGGAGAGTAACGCCGCGCGTTTGGAGATAATCAGCGATCTGCTGAGCACGCATCTGGGGATGCAAACGAGTCAATCCGCTGCTCAAGCAGACGTTCAGACATACACTCCGGCATATTTCTTAGGAAGATACGAGGTAAATATGATTACGGACGTGTTAAGCACCGTAATAACAATCGATGACCGCTGTGTAGTGACTATTCAGAAGCTGCAATTCGTTACAAACGTGAAAACATATCGTCATACTCGCAGGACAAGATTGAACTACTCAAGAAGCTGAAGCCTAAGATGCAACCGTTTGACTTACTGAAGATGTCGCGATTAAGCATCCAGTTTTGCTCAAAGTTCAATGAATTACAAAGAATCGCCCCGTCAGCATCTTGCCTTCCTATTTTGATACATGGCTGCCCGGATAACTTTTCCACTACAAAATACTTCGAGGTAAACCTTTGTAATTTTCTGCAAACATCCGAAATAACGGTAATTTCGCACCGCGAGTTGACGATTCTAAGAATGTTCCGAACTTGGAATTTAATTTTTACAAAAACTAAACTTTCTTTCCATTTCAGAGACTCGACACAAAGAAAATGGGTCGCTTGGTGATTTATGCGGACGTCCTGACGTCGTCTATGCATGTAACTGACTGTACTTCGTTGGAACATGGACTAGCGGTTATTCCACGGCAGCAAACTGAAGGCCAAGGTAAAATATTTTTTTTTTCCATATGTATATAAATAAAACGATTTGTAACGATCATTTCAGGTCGAAGCGGAAATTTATGGCTCAGCCCGATTGGTTGTACCATGTTTACGTTACAAATGCACCTCGACATGAATTCAGTCATAGGAGGTTGCATCTCATTAATTCAGCATTACGTTGCTGTGGCGATTGTACACGCTATAAGATCAAAACCAGGATATGAGGTATTTTTATATTTTTTACCGTTCCTGTCATGTGATTTTTGTTAAAAATATCTAAAATTTGTCATTATATATGTGTATATATTATTATGTATGTTTATTATATGTGTTTATATGTTTATATATGTATATTTGATTATATCTATTTTATAAAATTAGTAGAATGAATAATGACGGTTAAGTTCATTAAATTTATTCATTTGTTTTAGAATATTAATCTCAGATTGAAATGGCCTAATGATATATATATCGGTAATTCGAAAATCGGCGGCCTTTTGGTAAAAACAAAAATAGACAGTACAAAATGTATTTGCGATATCGGTATGTAAAAATAGTCATAAATAACATAAAATATTTCACGAATGATCTTATTCTAATATGATCAGACGTATTTCAGGTGCCGGTATAAATCTTTCTAACAGTAAACCAACATTGTGCATTAACACTGCAATTCAAGACTATAATCAGAAGCATGGTACAAATTTGCTAACGTTTTCGTACGAAGAATTCGTAGCAGAAGTATTTAATTGCATTGAATACTTAGTAGATAGAACTGTATATCCGGAAGATACGAAGTTCTTCTACGAACTTTATTATAAATATTGGTTGCACGAGTAGGTAGATGTATTAAAAAAAATCTTAATGTTATTTTTCACTGCAATATATTTATATGATACGTGTGAACTTTTCAGGGATTCCCACGTAACGGTGGTAAAACAAAGCGGAGAAACTGAAAATGTTGTGATTAAGGGTATCGACGGTTTCGGATATCTATTGGTAGAAGATGGCAAGGGCAAAAGATTTTCTCTTCATCCGGATGGGAATACGTTCGATCTTCTTAAGGGACTAATATCACCGAAATAGAGCCCTCTGTGACACTTGTGATCTGTTATTAATGTCGTGTTGTAATTAATATTTTTATGTTGTGCTTATTATTAATCGTTGTTGAAAATGATTCTTTATCAATGCTAGATAAAATTTATTCACGAGAATTATTTTTCAAATATTTACTATGTACATATATATATATGTTCCTAAAATTTGTTTTTTAAATATTAAATTTCTATTTATTTTGTAATATGTGTATATATACGTGTTTATTAAATATAATTATATTTTTTTTTATGAAATTTCACTGTTGTGATAGATTTTATTTAATACTTGCGAATAAATTTTATCGAACATTGGTCTATATATAATAGAATCTGGAAGTTCCGAATCTTAAGATCTGATAGTGACAAATTAGAGATACATATGATCTGTTTTGTATATAAACACGCGACGAATGGTTATTGAAACAGTCTATATGTACAAATATTTTTCATTGCATTATTGAAAAATGATTACATGCTGAAACGTGGACATTATTTTGTGTAAAAATGTATTAAGTTTTTCCTGAACTTATATGTATTTTCTTTGGTATATGTTTGGTATAGGGTATAAATTTCTTTTGGTATATGGGTACTTAAAATTTTTTAAATAAATAATGTCTATTCAGGGTTGGAACACGTACTTGTAATATCGTTATCGTTACAAGTTACTTTATTCAATATCTTTGTTCAGTAACGACATTATTCTTGTTTATCAGATAAACGATAACGAACCGTTATTTTTACGTTACTTCGTATACATAGAATGTGTATATATGGAACGGGCAGCGATAAGTCCTAAAATTCTTCAAAACTCGATGAAAAAAATATAGAAATTCTGACGATTCGTTACTTTTTGAGTTTGATAAGTTGTAATGAATTATTTTCTCCGATGACTAACAAGTAACGGTAATGAGTTACTTTTCAAAAGCAACTTTCAACCCTATGCTTATTTAAATTGCTTCTGAATGATACAAATATATAAGTATCCAAAAAGACATGTGTACGTATCTCATTTATTTCTCATAAGAATTCCTTAAATGAGATTACACGAAGGGATGTTTTGCTCTCGCTTAGTTATATATATATATATCATCAATGTTCTTTATCTTTTATATTCAAAAGGATAATTTTGGGATATCAACACACTGGTTTATTCTTTCCCTGAATGATCCGAGTTCTACGTCCTTGAAAGTCGCTTTGGTAATTTGTTTGGAAGGCATCCGTGTGATCCAAGCACTTACATTATCAGGGATAGTAGATTCTTTTCGATAAACTTTCTCTTAAGGGGTTACACCACAGTAGAGAGCGAAAATTTAACGTTTTTTTGCGATTTTTTTTTAAGTGGAAGGAAAAGTAAAAGGGTAATTCTTTTTAAGGATGTTGTTAAGCATGTTTTGAAGTTTTAAAAAAAATTTTGTTTATTAAAATATATTACAAAATGGCTGCCCAACAGCCGTTTCTGCGGAACGGTTTTTTTTGGAGGGGCTCCGCGGCACGTAGTAGAAGTGCAGCAAAAATTAATCTGGAACAAAATAAAAAATTTTTTCTTAAACTACATTAGTATAGCTATAGAAATACGTAGGGGATTTTGAAAATATTCATTTTTGTTAAATTGGCGAGCATTTGAAAAAAAAAGTTCATTTTACTACCAAAAAACGGGCACTTATTTGTACCTAAAAAATCGAAATATTAACTTATCGAAAATCGGCTACGTATTTCTATGCGGCTACGTATTTCTATGCGGAATAATTAATTTGGAGTGAAAAAATAGAAAATTGTTTGAGTTATGCTGCGTGCCGATTTGAAAAAACGTGTTTCGAGAAAAACGCGTTTAAAGTTTTGACTCGTGTTTCAAACATAATAAAATAAAAATTTGGATTATTAAAAATTTTTTACCTTTAATCTGCTATTCCAGCACCGTAAAGCTGACCTTCCAGGTTGCTAAACTCCTCCTCGTTTTCTTTCCTGGACGCTTTTATGCTGGAGCGAGCCTCTTTCGCTGCGTCCGTCAAAGAGCGGTCCGCGCGTTGTATTCGAGCAGCGTCCGTCTCTAAGCAAAAGTTGTAGGATTGTGGTCCAATGTTCATGTCCATCACTTTCATTATTCTTAAAACGTTTATCAGTCCATCATTAAAATTACAAACAGCAATGTCACTTGCTATTTGTAATATTTTCTTTCCGCTTGAATAATTTTTAGGAGCCAAGTGCCAGACTGTAGAATTAAAACTTTCGTTGCTGTTCTGCGTATAGCCTCCCAAGCAACGATTCAGCAACTCGTCACGGCTCAAATCCTCGTAGATTGGTCTGATGGCTTCAAAAACTTCGTTCGATAGTGCCGGCTTATGATGAAAGGAGTCTAAGGAACCCGTTGCTTGCGCCTTCTTCCATTCGCACCAAGACTCTGAGCATTTTTCGTGCTGTGGATTTTCGTCAGTTGACATTTTATGAAATAATGTCGCCCAGATTTCATTTCTCATATTTTCCAACGAGTTTGAATTCCGTCGAATGGCCAAGCCATAATAAATTGTTAACTGATCAATTAATTTCATAGTTAATTTTCCTTTTCCTCCAAGATTTTTTGTTTTTTTTCTCAAATTTCTCAACCGAGTGCCCATTCGTTTTTGTACATGATCAATACATTCTTTTTTTGACACTTCAAAATTTTCATACGGTTTTGCATCCAATATCCCCTTGAAAGTTTTACTGTCACCATCACCTATATAATTTGCGTATTTAAGTCCGTGTAAAGCTTCGGAACGTTGAAACATCTCGATGACAGCATCTACCTCCATTTTACCCGATGAGCCTTCATGGTTCGACTGACATTGATCGGCATGAGTTTCGAGCCATTCTTCATACTCAGCAGTATCTAATTTATTTTTCCAGTGCTCGCAAGCTTTACAGTATTTCGATTTCACTTCAATGTCAACAATTTTCCCTGTAAACCATCCGATCAATGATGTGATCCCGAAAAGAGACGAAAATCCTCGTTTCCTCCAGGAACTATCACCAGATACAGTTATTCCTGTATGCAATCCATTTTCTTCACTTTTCTTCTTCTCATCTTCTGCTGCCTTTTTTATACTACAGTCTCGCACGGCTTTCGTTGCGATCAAAATTATATCTACTGCACGGTCGTAACAACTTTGAAATATAGGCCGTGGCAATTCCATAAATGCGCAGAATTTCATTATTCCAGCTAGCCCTACTCCTAATAGTCGCATTGTTAGTACAATCCTACGGTTAATTTCATATCCATTTCGTATGAATGGACAACTCGGGATTTCAACTTTTGGACAATTCGGGCAACAGACGGTTATTTTGAAGCCTAAACCCCGCGTACCTGATTCGAGAAATCGTATATCAGAGTTGCACGTTTTGCACTTCACATATTCCGAAATGGCAGAGAAAACGGCAAAAAAGTTTATAATTCGGTAACCAAATTCACTTTGTATATCGATATCGTCAGTATCCACTTTCAATTTCTTTGCCGAAGCGCTGACACCGGCCGAATCTTCCTCCGCTTCATATCTGTTCGACGGTCGTCGTTTCGTCACGTTGCTCCGTCGCCGCGTCTGATACGATATTTTTGAGCCTTTATGGTTTACATACACTTTCTTTTCACTCATTGTAACTCACATAAATATCAAGGCTACAAATAACGTGTGAAAAATTAGCACTAGAAAATCGTGATTTCGAATAACTTCCACGCAAAATTTACGTCTCCTCTCAACATCAAAGGACGCTGTACTAACGTACTTTGTGTTCAAAATGCTTGAAAATGTTTCTAACGACATCTATTAGTGTATTAGATAAGTTAGAAATCGAATGGTAAGACATAATGCTGTACCCGACAAGCAGGTGTCGTATTTACCGCAAGTAGTCGTTTCGGAGCAGTCGGGAGGGGTCGAGAAAGAGCTCGAAATTTCAATGAAAACGATTTCTGACAGATATAAAACCGTTTGTCTCTTATTCTAGAGGGTTCAAAGGATTTTTTAAGCCAATAAAAAAAGAATCGATTTTTTGAAATTTCTACTGTGGTGTAACCCCTTAAGCGGAGTCTACAGTGAGAATTTAAGCTCTAAGCCTTAAGAAATTGACCAATCACAATTGACTATTCTTCTATAATTCGATTGTGATTGCTCAATTTCTTAAGGCTTAAAGCTTAAAATACCTATTGTGGACCGACACTATTGTAGACTAGGATTTAAGTGTAGTCTACGACGAGTAATATGAATATATTCAAAAGAAGTAAGAATAAGAAAATTGACCAATCATATTCGAATGTAAGGAGAACAATCGACTATGATTGGTTAGTTTCTTATTCTTACTTTTTACAAACATATTTCTACCGCCCATTGTAAACAAGCTTTTACTACTGCTGACTGAGCGTGACATATCACTCGCACCGCGGTGTTTATATTTGAAATAAGAGTGACATAGCTATAAATAGTAAAATGATCAAGATAACGCAGGATATTAATTTGGAAAATTATACGCTTATTCTGCCGTCGGTGGCGGTTGGAAACGTCGGGCAACTGTCCGTCGATTTGTTGATCTCAAATCTTAACCTTCGGAAAATCGGTCAAATTTTTAGCCCGGCTTTCGTACCCATCGTCGGCGCGAATGCTTATGACGAGCAATCAAAGGATCTTATTACGGCGATCGACATTTACGGAGGTATCAAGGAACGTCTTGTCGTCATACAAATTCGCTCGCCGTATGTGAATGATTTGACAAAATTTTTCAACGAACTCGAGCTGTTCGTCGTTGAGAGAAAAATAGCTCAAGTAATTAATTCATGTTAATTAATAATTAATATTGGCTTATTATTTTGGGAGAGCAATTCCGTGATGAATTCTTTTTCGCAAAAAAATTTATATCACTTATATTTCAGGTGATAATCCTAACTAGCAGTTACGATTATGAGAGGAGGGAAATCGTACCGCAGCATCTCAAATTAAGATATATCGCTTCTCCTGGTGTACATTCGGAGAATGACAAATTGTTTCGCGACCTCAACTGGATCGAGCACAAATCGAAATGTGTATCGGATACAAATAGAGAGGAGAAATTACGGATACCGGGAGGTGGATTCGCCAGGAGCATGTTCGACTCTCTTTCCAGTGCCAACATTCCTTGTGCAGTTTTGTTCAAGTTCTGTTCTGAGGGAGACAACATCGCAGATGCAGTAGCTTTAGTGTACTACTTAGATCAATGGATACGAGTATTGGGATCAAATAGTGATGGCAGTAACGATAGTTTAAAGTATCCACCATCGTGGAAACACTTATTTGGAAAGCCACTTCAATATGATATGTATTAAGTGTGTTCTAATATATCATATGTTGTTCTATTAATCCGTTTTATTATTTGATAATATTTTCACTACACAATCTCTAATAAAACGTGTATTTGGTGTAATACATGGAATGGAATATAACTTTATGAGTTTTATTCATACAAAAGTTATAAAACCGCGACTTACACTTATGTATATAGATGAAAAAGTTTAACACTTACATATGACGTAAATATAGGTGATTAAATTCTGATAGTCCATCAATGGGACTTGATAAGTATACAGTCCATCAATGGGACTTGATAAATATACAGTTATTGGCATACAAATCTATTTTATTACAAGGAACTTTACTTTTGTGGATAAATAACGTTTCTCTCATTACTATAAATTTAATTTCAATTTATTTGCTAGTAACAAAAGGATTTTCTTAAGCTAGGAGTTTGTATTTTGCAGAAAACGCCATGTAAGATACAAGAGCGACCAAGAAAGCAGCTAGGAGTTCGGAATTTACCCAAGGGCCCAGGTATACTCCTGGATTATTGAGAACAACCACCACCAGAGGCTTAACGCTGTCAGGATCTTCTCCATTTCTTATGGCTTTGCGAACAGCTGCGTATTTCTCCTCGTCGTACAATTTTATGTTGTAATCACCGGATCTCGCCTTCTTGATGTCTTCTGTCCAGGACACCTGTAATAACATCACATCAAAAATAAGTAAAATGTCATGTATACGTAATCTCCAAACATTTATTAAATGTGTTGCTCTCGCAATTATAATGAAATTCTCTATCTTTGCGCAGGTGTGCGAGTATTGTTACCTGATATTTATTGTCAGCGCTCAGTCTGACTGCCGGCAACGCCTTTCCCTCGACTTCCGCGTACAGACTAATCCCTTTTACCCCGTTATTGCACTTCAATATGAATTGCGTGGTGAAAGCAACGTTCGTGAGGACCGTCGCGTCTTCCGTTACATATGCCGAGGCTACAACCTCGGGTTTCTGACAGGTCTCTGTAAGAGCTACGGAAATTATGCTCGCTAATGCGAGAACGAAAATGATGTTATTCATCTTGTGTAAGTCAGCTTCTTTCACAGCAGCTTCACTGTAACCAACCACCCGCAACTGTTCGGACTCGGAGTTCAAAAGTGCGCCACAACCTCCAACGTGCTCGCACTCCGAAGCTCCAACCGGTCAGCCGACTCCATGTAGCCAGCCACGTCAATAAGATCGGCGTAACTCGTGTTTTCTCATCGTGCGCCATAGAATTTGTTTTATTCAGAGTCGCGCAGGCTCCTCTGTGACAGCCGTGGAATGTATGGTACACATTGGTGGACTGAACGACGTTCAGTTGCTTGTTTCAAATTTGTGGTCTGTTCCTTTTAGCTGCACTGCTGAGCTATTGCGATAAGTTAAGGCGAGGCAAGTATATATTTTCTCACTTCAACTTATTGCACTAGTTCAGCGGTGCAGCAAAAACGAACGGACCTACGATGCTTGTTTTCGTGCTGAATTGCTTGCTGGATGGAAATACTGCGTTTTGATTGGTGTATTGTCATCCATTTTTGTAAATGCACCAATCAGAACGCAGTATTTCTATCCAGCAAGCAATCTAACACGAAAACAAGCATCGCTGGCTTAAGTTTATTTCATCTAGGTATTCATATTCTATTGTATATTTTTGAATAGGTGGAATCACTTCTGAATTTTCATACTTCATGGACTGTACTGGACAACGTGGTTGCATGTAAACAAACTTGTTTGTGTGATATATTACGTTGTCATCACGTGAGTGAGAAAGAAAAAGACAATTAACAAAGATTAACGTGTAATTTCGCCAATTCTTCAAGAAGATGAAGCAATTATCGGAAGAAAAAACGAAGCTGGTATTCGAGAAATTAACCAAGTAGTAAGTGATTTTGTTAGATTAGGTTAGGTCAATGCAATTTATTAATCGTTACTTGGTATACCGTAATCGATTATACGTTAAAATAACAAGCAAAGCAGATTGTTATGATTTTAATGATTACAGCATTGGCAGGAACGTGAAAAATTTAATAGATCGGCCGGATGGCATATACTGCTTCCGAGAGAAAAAGGACAGAGTATATTATATTTCGGAAAAGATTTTGTCGCTAGCAAATACTGTAGGAGCTGAACATCTATTAAGTCTAGGCACCTGTTTTGGTAAATTCACAAAATCGGGAAAATTTAAGCTTCATGTTACTGCTTTGCATTATTTAGCGCCTTATGCTCAAGTAAGTATTTAGTTCTGAATATATCAACCATGTTTATTGTAACATCATACATTTACACGATGTACTAGATTCCCATTCCACGACAAATTGACATTACATTTATTTTTCATATCTTTCTTCATATATTGCATTAGGCATTTATTCAAATATATATATTTAATGTATTGCATGATTGTAGTGATCATTTTTAAAATTTAGCACAATAGTGAAGATATTAGAAAATGTTAGCAAGTATACATTAAATTATAATAGTGAATTAGATAGTTGTAATTTTGATATAATGAATTATTTCTTTTAGCATAAAATTTGGTTGAAATCTTCAGCGGAGCAACAATTCTTATATGGTAACCATGTTTCGAAATCGGGTCTCGCTCGTATAACAGAAGGCACCTCTCAGTATCAAGGTGTTGTTGTATTTTCCTTAAACGATTTGCCATTGGTACGTAATATTCAAATTTAAATTTACAACATCAAATATTTCCAATATAATCCCACAGTCAAATATCTTATGAGCTTCTCTGAATATCTTCCATTGAATTTCATTTTTCAGGGATTCGGTGTGGCTGCGAAAAGCACGACCGATTGCAAGCACGCGGATCCGATGGCGACAATTTGCTTCCATCAGGCAGACATTGGAGAGTATATTCGTTCCGAAGATACATTGCTATAACGAAGACTTATTTTAACTTTAAAGAGTGTATATGTGTGTGTGGGTGCCTAATTGTTATACGGTGGATTCGATTTTTTGTAAGTTACTTTAATATAAATTTATTACTTTAATCGTGATCTCTCTCATAAATTGAACATATCAGTTACAGTCCTGTTCCCACGCGAGTTCCCGAGATTTCTGCCTATTCCAAAATTCATCGGAAGGAAAAAAAAGTGTCACGACCGGTCCTGCCTACGAACTAGCGCCTTTCACCGAGCCAACACTCCCATTCTCCTCCGTCACGTTACGAATAACCGAATAATATCACGCGCAGTCGCGCGTAACCGCGTTCGCTCGCCAAGATCTCGTCGACGGTTCGCGATAAAGTCCGTATCACATGGCGCGTTTCCTCCCGTATGCAAAACGTCTCGCTAGTTTTCTCAGGGATAAATAGTAAGTTCCCAGTAATTTACCAGCCAGCAGGACGCTTTGTTTACGTACGAATGCGGAACAATGAGCCGTGTGACGCAAGCTTAAGACTTATTCGCATACCTTGAGGGAAAATCGATTTACACTTGAATTCCTTCCTTTATTGCGTGATGGGAGTGTATATGCTGTGATACTTGTTGATCGCGGACACAGTATTACTTTGCGGAATAGCTTAGGTGAGTTCAATTTTGTAGATTCATCTGTTGATATGCATAATTTTTAAGTAGTGTTTTTTTCTTTATATTTTGATGATAAATATTATTACTCGCGATAAATTTAATCGGGATTGTATTTATCGGAAATTACAGATGTTATCGCTGATGATTTCCGTATCAGCTTGTGTACATAATACGAAATACATGTTCAGTCATCTAATGTTTGCATACTTCATTTATGAGTGTTGATTTCTTCTCTTATTGTGCGAACTCAGAGTATATATCGGATATTTCGTATATTTTTAAGTTACAAAGATTGACTTGTCCCTTGTTATCGTTTTAGTCGATATGTAACGCTCGTTAAATCAATACTTCCTGCGGACGGCGTTTTGTAAATAAGTATTTTGTTTTTTTCCGTTTTTTATGTAATATCAACTTTGCTCCAGCTGTTTGAGTTTGACTGCAAGTCTTTGGTTGTTTTGAAAATTTATTTTTTAATGCAAATACGTGAAAGGAAAGGAAGGAATTCGTTAATATTTTATTGCAGTTTATCTTATTTACTTATATTCGAATTTAATAATTTATGTAGAGTGCACAATGTCAAATTATCCGTATGAATACATAAGATGTCCAGGTATGTTTTTGTCTATTAGTTGGAATAAGCTGGATAGGATATACAATATATTATAGAATAAGGATTCAAAATTGAAATCTTTGAAAACATTGGATTTCTTTATACAATAATATTATATATTTATATAAAAATTGTTTATGTAAATTTTTTTATATAATAAGCATAAAGCATATAATGAGCACTTATGCTCATTTCAATGAGTAAATATTAGTTCTCAAGTTGTGAAACCTATCCTTTTAAGAGAATAATTTCACATGATGCAAATAGAAATTCGATAATTTGATATGATGCAAATAGAAAATTAATATAGTGTACACGCTATGTCTTATCATTTATTTTGCATATAATTACCTTATATTTGCATATAATTATTTTATATTTACATATAATTAGTATGCGTTTGAATTGCTACGTTACAACACAGTTTATCAATATTCTCATACATATAATAAACATGATAAATTTTCAGATATGGAGCAAATAACAGAATCACCTCAAACACAGCCGCAGTCCTTGCATGGCTTCGTCCCTCTCCTGGGTCTTACCGAAGCGGTCGGGGCGCTTCTTGTAATTCTAATGATTGTGTGGACAACTTATTTCGAAGACGGCTTCTCCTGGAGGTCTCATCCAAAGCTTGAATTTAATTGGCATCCTTTGTTAATGACTATAGGTTTTGTCTTTCTGTACGCCAATGGTACAGTATATTTAAAAATCAATTTTTCTCCTCGTTCCTGCACTTGTGTGTGTAATTCGTGAGTTTGTTTTTTTTTTTTTTTCTTTCATAGCAATGCTCATCTATAGAACACAACGGAATCTTCGCAAGAGACGACTAAAGCTGCTTCACGCGGGAAACATGTTTCTCATCGTAGTGTTCGTGGTGATCGCTCTGGTGGCTGTTTTCGACAGCCATAATCTGGCTTCTTCTCCTACACCGAATATGTATTCGCTGCACAGCTGGGTAGGACTAACGACCGTAATATTATTCTGCTGTCAGGTAAATCTGTTCGAATAATTACGTAATAATAATTCTGAATTTGGAAACATATACACGCCAATATCTGGTGTTTACAGTGGGTTGCCGGATGTGTCGCCTTCCTCTTTCCCGGATTACAGCCCTTGCTACGAGCTTCTTACATGCCAATTCACGTGTATTTTGGCATTGCAGGCTTTATCGGTGCAATCGCATCGTGTTTATTGGGACTCAATGAAAAGGCAATTTTCAGTTTGAAGTGAGTAGCAATTAATTAAGTAATAACAAAATAAGCCAAGAGAGGGATGGAGGTGTATGTTTCTAATATTTTTGAAATGTTTCAGAGATGAATACTCAAAGTTCGATAAGGAAGGAGTGCTGATAAATGTTATAGGGATGCTATTCGTATTATTCGGAGGTTTATCGGTATATTTGATAACGCAAGCACGTTACAGACGTTTATCAATGCCCGAAGATGAGATTTTATTATCCGGAACTGGGTAATGCGTTTGAGATTACAGTTTGGATTGCACATTGAAGATCAAAACTTCACGCTTACCGAATATGACCTTGACTATCGCTTCTCAGTATAAATGTCTCCTGAAACCTTAAAGTCTCATATCCAATGAAAAGTATTTACGAGTTTTGAGTATTGCACATTTCAGGAATACTTTTACAAATAAGGCTGACTAATGGCACAGTCGAGTGATATCACTACAAGATGAACAGGGAAATAATAATTTTATTGAATAATTCCAGGAGCGTGTGTATGTGTGTGTATGTGTGTGTAAACACTCTCCTAAATACTCTTAAAACATTCCTATGTATTACATAGTCTGAATATTTTCTTCGGCAGATAAAATGTATAATTTATGTTTACATCAAGAAGTTATATTTTTCCAAGTTTTTGGTGCTACATATAAAATATATCGTGTGTATATATATGCATAAATTTATTTCTTATACAAATATATGTTGATATATGTGTATTTAAACTGCTTATATTTTTAAATTAAGTGCTGAAAGTATGATATATGTATGTGATGCAAAACAGCAATATAATACTTACAAGCAATTTCAATCCATGTAGGTTTCTTATTATCTTTTCAGGTAAACGATCGACAATTATATATGCGATAATTTATGAACACATCCGGATATTGTACATTTACAAGTTGAACACATCCTTGCGTACTTATTTAAAGATATCGTATTATTGTGTTAACTACTGTCCTACAGAAATTTCGGTTTGAGTTATCTTCAAAAATAAGAGTTTCGATTTAATTTCGATTTCGGTCAAAATTCAAAGAAAATTTCGATGTAAATCGAAAGCCGGAAAGCCAACGAGGACATGTTCCACAAAAAGGAAGCAGGCGAATATACAGCGACATATTTTCAAGGCTGTTTGCATTGCGATGGTGGGGCGGCGGGGGGGGGGGTAACACGCTGAGGCTTTCCTTCGTCGCATGAAATGGCACCTTTAGTCTCGCGAGAACAACCGAGCGGTTCGGACGTGCTTTGAGCGCGTGCTCGCGGGCCCCCTTTCTTCGTCGTAGCGCATATTTTTTTTCACAAATTCATTCCGCCGCAGAACGCATTTGTCCGGTATCTCGTTTTATTTGTATTAAGTGGTGCAGGAGGAATGCCGCTGAGCTGCCCGTAATCAAAGTTGAAGAGAGAGAGAGAGAGAGAGAATCGATCACTGCGCGTGTATAAATAGTTCGTATCTAGTAATCAGCTGTGCGGTCGTTATCAGTGGCAAGTTGACGATATTGTTGACGGCGACGTAACAAGATATATCTCGGTAGCTGTATTGCACGAGAATTTCTCGTCATTCAAAGGAAATTCGTCGCGACGCGCGCACTCAGCAGTGCAGTAAGCCACGATAAATCATTCAATGGTTAACCAAATCCCTGTGCCTCAGGCGAAGTATGAATTACTAACTGACATACGACAGTGAGTATACGTTAATTCTTCGTAAGAAAAAACAAAAATCGTTCTCCGTTAGCACGACGAAAGCGTGCGAATTCCTGTGGGAGTGCGCGAACGTATGAATCCTTCGGGATTACTCGACGTTTCGTACGCGCAAGAGAGAGAGGGGTGGAAGGAATAGAGAGAGAGAGAGAGAAGGAGGAAATTTTGTATCGATCTCTTGCGAGCAATACGTCATCATTGGCTTTTGAATTTCCACGCCTCACGTCACGAAAGGTCATTGCAGTTAATCAAACGCCTGTCAGTGATCTGGACTACCTATTATGGAATTACTCGGAATTGATTCCAATCGGAATCTTTCGAATTATTCCCTTTCTCTTGTATTTTATGGAGAATAATTGAGCGATTCCGATCGGAATCAATTCCGAAAGAATCCATAATACGTGCTCTACATAGACACGATGTTCTCGATTGATTGCTGTCACGTGCACGTGATTATTCCTATTGCTCGTGGACTGGATTCGGGGATCCTCCTTTTGGGAGGATTTCTGGAACCATCAAAAGTATCTCAGAATTTGTCATATTATTTCTCAGAATTTTAATGAAAATTTTTAAGCGTTCAGGATGTTTCAGATTTTTCATTTACGAATTCGAACGTCCAGAACATCGGATATGTAACTTATCTGTTGCCATGTTTGACTCTACCGAACTGAATATTTTTGAAAGTTATGTTGGGCCTTCGCCTTACTAAATGTCATTTTTAATAGCATTAATAGCTTTAATGTCAACACTACATAACCGCAAAAGGGCGGGAAAATCAATTGATTTTAAAATTAATTTCTTAACTGCTTAAAAACATTTAGATTATTCATTTGTACACCTAATATCTGATAAATGTTTTCATATTATTCTGGAACTCTTCATAAATCTAGAATATGAGGAATTCTTAGAAAATTTCTTAGAAAATACGAGATACTTTTTCACCAGAAGAGTGAGGGAGAGAGAGAAATTTTCATTACTCGAAGCCGAAACTTTGGACGTTCAAACGCGCGCCCTGAGTTTCCAAAGTTTTTTTTTATCATTTAACGCAAGATCGAATGTCTTTTCAGACCGCGCTGGCGAACGCAATTCCTTTGCCTTATCTTAACATTCCTAATCGTCGGAGTTCTCTTTGTAACGCGCGCCTGGTTTGGCATACTCGTCCTACGAGCTCCGAAGGCTGATAAATTTGTCGGGGAACAGATCGACAATGCCAAGATTGCTGCGTGGCTACGTCGGGCTCGGATGTACGCCGAGTCGACGAAGGAGAATCAGAATGCGGACAGGAACACAAGTGTCAACACATCGGAACAATACCACCGCAATTCAACCAAGTGAGAAGATTTAGAATGTTCTGATACCACGAAATTATCGATACCGATATTATATTAGTGGTGTCACAACATCCTCTTAAGATTTAAGCTTTCAGCATGTGGTTTTATCCGTTGACCTGTTGATGCACTTCATGCACTGAAAAATGTTTTCCACACTATGTTCAGTCAGATCATCGTATGCTACTATACAATATCGGGGGACGTTAACACATCGTGGGAGCTCAGTCCGTCGCACATTGACCCTCATATTTGTACGCATATTATCGTGGGTTTTGCGAGCGTGGTGAACAGCACACTGGACATAGGAGACAACGAGTGGGTGTACAGGCGAGTGGTCGATCTGAAGAATCGCGAACCTAAATTGAAGGTCATGGTCAGCGCCGGCGGAAACAATGAGCTCCACGATGGTTTTCCCGAGATGGTGAAGAATCACACAAATAGGAAAAAGTACGATTGCTTATTGCTGCTATTTTTCAGAACACCGTCCATAGTAGTGATTCAATGGTCCAAGTGAGACCGGCTAATACTCGTCTAACTTTCAGATTTATACGGTCAGTATTAAACGTAACCAAAACTTTCCATCTGGACGGCTTCGACGTCGACTGGGAGTTCCCAGCATGGTTAGGATCCGACAGTCGCGAGAAGATACACTTTGTGCAATTGTTGGAGGAATTGCGGAAGGCATTCGATCGCAGCGGACAGAAGTTAATCCTGACGGTGGCGGTCGCAGCGCCACAGGCGATCGTAGATCAGAGTTACATGGTCCCCGAGATCGCAGAGTACGTGTTTCAGGTAGCAATCGCCGATTGTAAGACACCTCAAACGGATTGTCACGGATTGTTGGCACTTTCAGACACATTGACTTTGTAAACCTGATGTCGTACGATTATCATTTCTACGTTTGGTACTTCCCGGTGACAGACTTGAACGCCCCTCTCTTCCCCCGTTGTACAGAGACAGGCTATTTGTCGACTTTAAACGTGAATTTCTCCGCTCAATATTGGATAGCGAAAGGAATGCCGCGGGAGAAGATAGTCGTTGGCATACCGGGTTACGGTCACTCTTACAAGCTGGATAATCCGTCGAATCACGATCTACAAGCTCCGGCTGATGGTTTCGGGGAGCTTGGCACAAACGGCTTCGTGTCTTATCCTACGGTCTGTCAATTCTTGAAATCCGGGGCTGTGAAAGTCTTCAATCAAGAAAGTCGTGTGCCATACGCGTTTAAAGGTAAAGAATGGATATCCTACGACGACCAGCAGAGCGTTTATTACAAGGTAGTATATTTTATCCTATCGGTACAATAGTTGATATACATAGTTCTAATCAAATCTGCGAGACTGATATACTAACGTCGGTACACGGTTTGTGTTTAAGAGCGCGTGGATTCACGCCAACGGCTTCAGAGGAGCCATGATCTTGTCTTTAAACGTCGACGATTGGAACGGCACTTGCGCCACGAATGAAACGTTCCCGTTGACACGTACCGTCTCGAAGACGTTCAAGGAGCTGGACAAGCAACAAGTGTCGATAGGATTGTAATTCTTCGAGTACGCGCAACTCCGTTGGAGGAAGATTTCCATCTAGTTGCAACCGAGAGCTTAAAGCGTTTTACATTGAAACGATGCATTCCACTGCATTCCTATTTAAATATACTACTACTCGATGATATATACATATATATATATATTTACGCTCCACCTGAGTTGCTCAAAGATTTTCTTGTACAAATCAGTTGCTAAGGCATTCCGAGCACATAGTATTATATGCCGTAGAGCATAGCACTTGTACCTGATTATGTCGAATCAAAGATATTTATATACGTATATATGTATATATATACGTGCGTCGAATTCTATAGACTTAATAATATACGTACATATATATTCTATATACGTACGCATATCCTGTTTCCTATGTTATTATTTTCATATTTTATATAGTCAATATATATATATATATATACATTTCGTATATAATATTCAAAATAATGCCATGAATTAGAGAGAATATCAGAGGCAACCGTTATAAGTTATAACCGGTTTAAACGTGCCATATATATATATATATAATACAAAATTATACAAGCATATGTAACAAGAGCTATCGTCTGTTTCTCAATAAAGGGTTTCGAACTCGCGAATAATCTAACGCATGTTTTAATTTTACCTGATATCTAATCTTACTTTAGTTCAGTGGTGTTAATGATAGTACCGAGCCACACGTACACAAGCGTCGCACATATATGTATGTATGTGTATGTATATATATACATATTTATTAATAATCATCATATTTGCAGCATTGCATCAGTCTATCGGTCTTGCGCCCGCGACTCAGATCTCTGATTTACGCCGAGAAAGCATTTGCGGCTTCGGTGCGTGTCCTAGTGAGAGGAAATGACATTCTCTCTTTCGCTTTGCGCGAGACAAACGACGGTTGACACGGACGGAGCGCACTAAATGGTGCATAAGGAGAAACTGCATGGAGAGGATATCCCTCTAGGCAAGTGCAGACTCGAAATCGCAGCACTGCTCCCAAGATGCTTTGTATAGAAAGCCTTGGTTGTCGTTTGACCTTGGTCACAAAAAAACATATTTCACCATGAGCGCCGCGTACGCATCACATCACGAAGCCGTGTTTCTATGTTTGCATCCGAAAGGACCAAAAATGTCGTACGGGGCGGCTGCTAAGTACATGAAAAAAATCCAAGACATTTGTAAGTGGGTGAAACGCTATTCTGACGTGAAAAACGTTGATGATCTGCTGGATCGTGGCTCCAAAAAAACGAAAAAGGAGGACAGAATGATTTTACAGGTGTTTGAAAAGAATCCTCGTTTATCATTACGTGGCGTGCAAACGGTTTTACATAAAAAAGGTCTAAATATATCGTATGATACTATAAGAAAACGTTTACTGGCTCGTGAAGTGAAATTTCGGAGCACAATGAAGAAAACGTTACTGACCGAAAAACACGTCGAGAAAAGACTTGTTTAGGCAAATGAAAATTTGGATCGCTATTGGGACAACGTAATTTTTTCAAACGAAGCTTCTTTTGGGGCAAATTTTTTATCAGACGTGCCTGGTTTACCCACGCCAATAGACTCATCGAGCAGATCGTTAAACATCCGGTAAAAGTGCACGTCTGGGGCTGTTTCTCAAAGCAGAGATTTGGCACTTTGCACATCTTCACAGAAAATTTGGACGCTGCCAAAATGGTCAAAATATATCAGAGAGCTTTATTACCATCTGCCCAAAGGTGTTTTACGAAGGAAAATGAAAATTGGCTACTGCAAGAGGACAATGATCCAAAACATCGGAGTAGACTTTGTACTGCGTGGAAACAAGAAAATAACGTTGAACGTATTGGATTGGCCTTTACAGTCGCCAGATGTAAATCCCATAGAAAATGTGTGAGCACTCATGAAGTTTAAGCTTCGAGAAAAGAAGATATGGACCGTCAAACAGTTAGTTCAATAGATTCGATTTATATAGAGGTCTTTGTCTAACGATTATACTATAAAATTAGTAGAAAGTATGCCTCGGAGATGCCAGGTGATTATTGATAACGGAGGTGACTGGGCAACTTATTAATAATAAAGCATCACAGTCTATATCATACATAATGTGTGTATTTTTTTTTTTTCAATTTATTATCCCAAGTCGTTTTCGAGTTTCGCCGTAAACGCTCTTGTCAAACAGACTGTAACTCGTAGTAGAACACACGCAAGGATTGTAAAACCGTATCGGGATATAATATTGATATTCTTACTGTAACGTGCAATTCAGCGCGTTTCGATAATTTATTGCATGTACATGATAGATATCTTTTTAACGATTCCATGACTGATTCATAAGGATGTCGAAGAATTCACTATCAATGTCACTTCATTAATAATGACTTCTGTGATGCTATTATTACTTATATAAAACACATTTAAAGTGAGAAAAACACAATTCCTTTCGTACTGTAATTCAAATACGGCGTAGCTTTCTTGCGGGTTGTATATAACAGTCCTTAACGGCAGTAGTGGCACTGCCCAGAGCCTCATCTCAGGATTTACCGCCGAAACCACCCATTAAATTCCCCAACCCACCTGCAGCCCCTTGTTGTAACTGTTTCATTATATTCTGTAATCCTGTCATGCCACCTGAAATAATAATGGGATACATAAGTAGCTCGCACGAAAAACACAGCGAGCGTACCTCTGATACGCCAATAAGTTTAATCTATTTAAATTTACTTACCCATTTGATGTAATACACGCGGATCCATCATTTTGGCCATTTGATGATTCAATTTCGCCATTTGTGTGGGATTGACATTTTTAGCCATGTCACCAGCTTTGAACAAGCCTTTAATGCCACCCATTTTCTTGACAACTGCCGCGAATTTCGTGTATTGCGTTATTAAATCTTTAACTTCTTTTTCCGTTACACCGGAACCCCTCGCCACTCTCACTATTCTTCCAGGTTGTTTGCTGAATAACTTAGCTCCATCTCTACTGTCTAGTTCTAAAATAGATAATATGGATAAAATGAGATACACAATACTATAAATTAGATGAATTGTCGTAAGAACGACATACGAAGAAAATATTTTAAGCAACGACGAACCTGAATCATTCATACTGTCCATAATTGTCATTAGTCGTTTTAATCTTGCCATTGACTCTTGTTCTGTCCCTTTCGACATGAAATCTTGACTGAATCCGGGAATCATACCCTAAACATAGAATAATATTATAGAGCGAAAATTGCGGAATATCAATAGATTACACAGTAATGCATGACTAATATTTACCATTAACTGTGAAAATGGTCCCATCTTCATGATATTTTGAAACTGCTCGTACATGTCTCGTAAGGTAAATTGACCGTGTTTTATTTTCTCGAGTAGTTCTTCATTATCATCTAGATTCAATTCGTTCACTTTATCAATGAGACCCTCGATATCACCCATACCTAGCAATTTGCTAATAAATGGTTTTGTTTTAAACGGTTCTAAGTCGTCTATGTGTTCTCCTGTGCCGACAAATATTACAGGACTTTGTGTCGCTGCAACACTGAGGATGAAGGAAAATTATGTTATAAAGAACAAAATTATATCATACTTGTAATAGAGAGAAATTTAATAACTACTACAACAGGGATGTGTTATTTGATAAAGAACTTACGCTGAAAGTGCCCCACCACCTTTAGCATGACCATCTAGTTTTGTAATTATGATAGAACCGACGTTTACACGTTCTTTGAAAGCCTTTGCTTGCGCCTCGCATGCCTGACCTATCGTTGCATCCATTACGAAGATTATGTTATCTGGTTGCTAACAACGTAACAAAACGTAATATTAAGAATTGTTCTTTTGCGCGTTATTTTTATAAATGAGTGAGTTATACAAGTCCCCATATATGTATATAGTAAAAAATTATATAGTAAATAAAAAAATATGATAGAAAATTTCACTGTTTGAAATTAAAATATGTCGCATTATGATCTTACCACAGCATTGGCGACTTGCAACATTTCCTCAAATAACGATTCCTCCTGTTTGTGTCTTCCGCTCGTATCTACAATGATTATTTCGTATCCCTCTTTCTTAAACATGTCAACACCATCCTGCGCAATTGTTACAGGATCCACTTCCGTGTAACTAAACATTTTTTTTTTATCAGCATAACGTCGAGAAATGATAAGAGTAACATATAATAAAAGAATAACACATAAACAACGTGTAATCACAAAATGGATACTTTCTCTAAATTTTTTATTTACCTGCCATAAAATGGTATTCTGGCTTTTGTGGCATTCTGTTTTATTTGGTCGTATGCACCGGCACGAAATGTATCTGCGCATACTAAACACGCCTTCCAGTTTTTCTTAAGATAATGATACGCAAGTTTAGTGCAGGTAGTTGTTTTACCGGAACCTTGCAAACCCACAAACATAATCACATTAGGACGGCCTTTTACTGGTTGGTATGCTTTAACACCAGGATCAATCAACTGAAAGAATCCACCAATTATCACATATTCTTTTCTAATTATTTATATATATTATCGTCTCTTACGTTGACACAAAATAAACAAACCTTTACAAGTTCCTTAAAGACTGCACTCTGTATCATCCTCCTTTTATTAAGACCACCAGCCATATCCTCAAAATCAATAACCTGACGTACATTTTCTCGCAATTTCTTCACTAATCTAATATTTACATCAGCCTCGAGTAAAGCTGCACAGATCTCCTTCAGCATAGAATTTAAAACCTGGATGGAATAAAGACACTTGTTAAGATAAAGATAAATAGTGTAGCAAACATAACAGATACAACCAGGTATTAATAGAAATTTGGAGAAGATGTTAACAATAACATAACGCCATATGTCATATTTGAGGCAGACTAAATTATGTCCGCGCAAAAGCTACTGCGTACGTGTAAATTTGACATATACAAAGAGGTTATTGAAAGCACGTACATGACATATCAGAAATTTCCAAAGATATGAAACAAAAGACGGTTAAGCGAGGAAAAATCACTTGGCATTGGAATACAATAGGAAATATGGTAACGTGTCATTTCGATCTGTTGTTTACAAGCAGCCTTTGATAATTATATATAACACGTAGTAAATATCGATAAACTCACCTCCTCATTGATGACGGTCGCATTACTGAGCGACCGCAGGGCCGACGTGATTTTACGTCCAAGGTCCGCCAAAACCATTTTTCTACGTTTCCTTGCTCACCGTCTCGATGTAAAATATTTCCCGATTAGATTGGTTAGAATATTAACATATAAAATATGTTATGATATCCCGACTCGGCCAACATGGCATGACGACACATCCGGTCTCGAGCGGACGATTATGAGAAGAAACAATAAATTTCTCGGCGTTATGTTGCGGTCGGAAGTGAAAATCCGCGGTGGCGAATTCCTCTCTGCACGTTGACTCGTTAAAAAGCTCGATCAACTTGTTTATATGTCACACCGACCAAACAGCTCTGATACAGCCGACAGCCATATCGATCGAAACGTGCGCGTATACTCGACGAGGTGTACGCCATTACGCCTGAAGTTAGACACTTTCGCCGTCTAGTCTGAAGTCCAGCACTTCCGGAATAGGATTTCGACCTGGAAGTAAGCTGAATCCGAGTCGAAATTACGAATGGCAAAATAATGAATTCTATTTCCGTAAGAAATCCAAACGCGTTCGTGTGTAATTCCTCCTTTCGCGTTTCTTTTATATTTTTATATATATTTGAACAGTTCAACTGTGAAATCAGATGATATATTATGAAAAAACCAACATTATTTATTACCTATTTATAACAAGATATATTATTTTTGTTTCCCATTCACGCAAGAATAGCTGAACAAAACCTGAATCTAGCACGGGTGGGACCAAAGCACCATATTTAATATATTGTACGGTTTTAGCTGAGACATATGTAGTTTTACTATAATTTTCTCGCAGCTTATTCAACAAGAAACATGTTCCTCAAACTTCGACATTTACACGCTTCACCAAAAATAGAGAACAACAAGAATAAATTACATAAACATAATTAATTTTGCATTGTAATATAATGAATTTATTTATCATTGTTATCTCAATAAATCGCAGCAGAGTATGTTAAGGTCTTAGGTTTGTTCACATCGCTTGTGCATTACCTTACATTATCTTCGATGCAGCTTCGTACAATGTATAAGAGAAACTTAAGACTTACGAATTTATATATAATTTTGACGCAAAAAAGAAAAGAAAAATATTACAACATTAATAAACTATTAAGAAATTTATCTATGTTACACAGTTTATTTTTTCTTCACGGCTTCCTTGTTATGTATAATTATTAATTCCGGAGATTACGCCGCCTTTTCTGTTTTAAAGTAACGTAACATGGCAATAATATATATATATACATGTCGTACATTATATGCTGAGAATGAGGTACAGGACACTGACTTCCGAGAAGTAACACAATGTCGAGAGCGTGGTGAGGGTGAATTTCGTTTTTTTAATCGCATATCTAGGTAGTCCGTGGCAGTTGACACGCGTTTATGAATCTGTTTCCGACGAGGTGTCAGCATACGCGCAAATTTAATTTTTTGGTGCTAGAGTGCCGTTTCCAGGTGCTACTGACATTTCGCCCCCTTGTGTGCTGTCGCGTTGAGGACTCTGAAGGAAACGACAGAACGATTTGTCAAAAATAAGCAATATATATTTCATACAATTTTGATATTAATATTCGAGAATATATCTGGAGAAATGTATTCGCTCAGACATTTTCTCCGACACTCGCTCGATTTACCTTCACATGAATCTGTTGCTTCAACATCGCCGCTCTTAAGATCAACATACGAGTACGCCTCTGGTATTCTTTCCCGACGCTCATTGACTTTTCAAAGGTCGTGCTACGTTGATCGACATCCTTCGCGTACAAAATCTGTAAACAATCGTCAATCCACAGTGAACAGATTCAGGTTTCGGCAAGTTACTTTTGAAAAGTAACTTGTTACCTATTGAAGAAAGTAACCTTAGTAAAAAGCACGACGTTATAAGTAACGGGTCACTTTCCAACTCTAGTCATATCATATTGATTTATTCAAATATTGTTATATTTGAAAAAGTTTTGGCAAAGAAAGATACATATTGCGACGAAGTGCCATCGCACGAATAAATTTTCCAAGCGGCTCTCACCTTATTATGCGAATCTATGCGAGCTTGAATTTGTCCGTCGAGAATAAGCTGCATGAGTTCGTCCTCCAACTCGGACACGGTCCTATTGAATGCCGTTGCCATCCGTCTCATGTCCGCACTTAAATAAGGACTAAAGTACTGTATTAAGGCCCTATTCCGGATTTGCGTGTACAATAGATTCACGTGAGGCGCTATGTACATATCCAGGAGGATATTATCCTTGATCTCGTCGAGTAACTTCAGGCAGGACGCGTATTTCGACTCGTAAAACTTGAAAATTATATCTCTCAGCTGTGGTTCTAATTCTAAGAATAATTTGAAGGAACTACTGAATATAACTTGTTTCTGCAATTCGTGTCTGTCGAAGGTGGCCAGGGCACAGAGTCCGCCGTAGAGAGCCACGTTCCCAGGGGACAGTAACTCAGGACAGTCGCAGTGATCCAGAGACGCCTGCAAGAAGTGTCTCGCGGCCATTTTGTATTTCCTCGTCGCCAGTTCCGCCAGGCCCGCCGCCACTTTTAATTTCGTAATTATCGCCTGATTGTTGTCTTTACCGTGAACGTCCGGAAAGTCCGGCGTGCTTTCAGCCTTGGTAACATAACTAAGTACATGGGACCAGTTCTGCAGATAAACCGAAACTTTGATCACGTTGAGACACATATTCACAACGTGCTTGCCGCTGGTGCAGTAATCTCGCGCTCTGGAGTAACACTTCAGGGCGTGAACGAGATCGCCACAGTTCAAATAATGATCCCCCAGATCGTCGTGACCTCTTCTTATGCTTTCCTTGATCGAGTTGCTTTTGTAATTCTTCAAGTCGGTATCAAATTTCTCCAATTTGAGGGCGGCTTTTTTAGACCGGGTCTCCACCCATGTCTGATCCATCGTCAACAGATCCTGAGAGGTCGACTGCGCAGCTACGTCTGGTAGACCCGGAGTGCCGACAGCTTGCTGAAGCTTCTTATGCAGTATCACATACAACGAGACATTGTACGTGGTCATCACATAAGTGATCGCCATTTTCAACGCTTCTATTCGTAATGACGGACAATGATCGGCGATATATATAAGTCTGTATAATTTCGCGAGTCCGGTATAACTATTGGCGTATACTTCCAGATCCTGGAAAGGAGAAGGACGATATAATACAGTCGATTAACGGAATATAAACTGATCATGTATGTCTTCGAAAGATTAATACAATTTCTCGAATAATTCATGTAGATCAACAAGGTGTGCGACACTAAATACATTTTACTCGCATGCATACCAGTGTTGGGTTCTCTACTATATACGGTTCTTCCTCAGCGTTATCATTATCCTCTGTAGGAGCATCCACCTGCATTGGCTCCACGACATTTTGCTAGACAAAGGGACACATGTCATATTAATAACGGTTCGTCTATTGCTCGGTGAAGTATTCAAATCCAAATAAATCGAAAGGAGACAGGCAGAGGCGAACGAGCTCGATAGTAGAGACGAGCGGATAACCCTGTAATTTAAATCGCTCGATCTCTCTCAGGATGCAATCCTTCCCCAGATTTCAATCGGATAATTACCTGAACGTCGTGAACTTGCAACGGCATTATTAGCCTTGTACGATTTTTATGTTAACGTAACTCTTACGGTTAGCGCGATAAAAAAGGTTTATTGCTCGGTTTTGCGTACCATATATAAATTAAATATGATACACACACGAGAGTTTGCAAAGGCTATATTGAAACAAAGAAACGGAGAGCGGCAAACGTCACGGCGAAATGGTCGCGTGCCGATGCGCGGCATCTCCTGACAGATATTCGTATCATTATATGTCAGATCAGGTAAGATAACAGATAGCGTGTTATCGATTAAAATGTTTTTTATGTATATAAGTTTGTAGATTTATTAAAAAAAATAGGTCTTCGAAAAACCCCAAGTTTAAATTGTTCAGATTTCTCTCAGACTACTGAACGTATGAACGACCCGACATGTGACTGCCGACTCTTATAGACCAATCACAGTGAGGCGCTGACTGACGTTTCCCAAATCACAACGGTGCCCGTGTTTCTCATCCACGAAAATTATGGACGTAGCACGGACACGCACCGAAAGGAAACATTATCGGCAGTAAATCTAGAAAGTGGATGTAACGAAATAGTTCCAGCATCAAAAGTGGATGCAGAGGGCGCGTCAAATATTTGCGTAAAACGGTATCCTGGCTAATAGGAACTTGTGTTTCTCGACCATTCAGCGAGAAGTAAAACGGTATCAGAGAGAACACCGGCGTGGCCGCTCTCTATAGTTTCTCTCTGCTAATATCTACCATAGAATTTATTTATATAACTGCACGAACATACAAGGTAAAGAAAAACAATATGGCCGTTTGAATATTTTTAGATGGACAATGTAACCGTCGAAACGATTTTTTATCGTTCGCACCATTGACATCAGAATATACTGATGCCCATTGACATTGGCGAACCACTGTTCGCACCGATTTCTTAAAAGCTGATTTGTAAATCTACCCCTTTTCTTCAGTGGGAATAGAAGTACAATAACTAATAACATCGTAACATCGGTGTAAAGCACTGTTTATCACGATATTTAACAGTCATAGTTACTAAACTGGTTTTATGCTCATTTCTACCGTTATGATTTAAATCTAATCGGCGATCGACTCAAAAGAACTGACCGACCGCATTGGTCAGTGGTTGAATCAATCAATGCATATTCTACAAATGTCTTATATATAATCATATCTAATTATATATGGGATATTTTTCCCGAACACTTCTATTTGTTGAAACAATTTGATCGCATGCCCTATAAGCGTGTAATATTCCTAGAATATTATACGAATATTATTCAATTTTAAAATAATATTCTCATAATATTCTGAGAATGTTATATAATATTATAGGAATGTTCGACTGATGTTATATGTCCACATAATATTCTTGGTGTATTATATAATATTATAGGAATGTTCGACTGATGTTATATGTCCACATAATATTCTTGGTGTATTATAAAAATGTTCTTGGAATAATTAAAGAAAAATATAATAATAATAATAATAATAATAATATATAAACATATATAACGTATTTTTGCACAAAATTCTTTCGACTTTATTTATGTAATAAAACAGTTAATATTGCAATACATTTGAAATAAAAAACTACTGTTATATATATTATATATATATACATAAAGTTGAATATTTAAAAAATATATAATATTATAGTAACATTAAATAATATTATTTTTTTAATATTATTAGGAGTGCGCATATAATCATCTATTAATAGAAATATTACTTAATATTAAATCTTAATATTACGCGCTTACAAGGCGATTCGTTCGAATCTGTCATCTAAAATCGGTCGTATTAAAACCTCGTAAGATCACATATCTTGTTTCCGTATGTGTTAACAATATAATCTTTCTGATCCATGATAGATCGCACAAGAGAGCCAGGTGGAAATGGCACGTGTGTATGTTCCAGCGAAACCGACACGAAACGCGACACAATGCCGCGCGCCCCGTTCAATATTTACATCGACGAGATGGATATATTACCGGATTAGGTACGACCCCCGTGGCTTTTTAATTATACAAACCTCGGTGGCCCGGTAAAAGCGGCCCATCTGCTCCACAGAAAGCTCAGGGGTCCACCGTATTCTCGGGCCCTCGTCGTCGTCGCCGCCGCCGCCGCCGTCGTCCACAAATCCGTACCCTCGCTACAAAGTATCAATTACATTGTTATTACCGGAGTAGCCGAAGATGCGGTCACAGATAATACACTGGTATAAGAGCATGCAGACAATAGGACAGGTACATACAGCCTGTGTTAACCGATGCGTAAGCCCCCTCCCGTGCGAGCAACGCGATAGCCATCGCGCGTGCAACTATGCGTTTAATTTGGATTTTGGCCGCGCTCGGAGGAGAGATGTGCCTCGCGAAAAGAGGGCTGCAGACCCCCGTACGCGCACGTATGTATGTATGTATGTATATACGGAGATATATAACGAAGGGTTCGTCCTTCGGAAAGTTTAGTGAAACGTTCGGGATGAGCGGGGCACGGAGCTCGCGAATTTCGGGAACGACGGATTTCAGTATAGCTCGTATACTGTCGATAGGAGATCGCGCTGAGCGCGCGACGACGGAGGCGAGAACGTTCGATTCGACCACGAATCTTCGGGGGACCGAGCAGGAGACCCGTCAGGATGCGCGACCGAAAGGACGGAGACTCCCTGCCGAATATGATCGTCGCAATCGAGAAATAAACGAGGAGAACGCACGGAGAAGGCACGGAGAGGAGGAACGAGAAGAGGAACGAGAAGAGGAACGACATGTCGGTAGCCGAGTTGCTCCGAACGGAGAAACGTGCCCGGACACTTCCGACAACGGTGTGCAGAGGCAAGGGGATAACGATCATCGGAGGACCGAGCTAACGTGGCTGCAGTACACCCGCTACAGACCGCCGAAGCTACCCAGGAGGTCCTTCGTCGAGAAGCGGAGGAAACGGCGAGCGGGTGATCACCCTCGCATCCCGTTCTCTTCGTCCCAACTGCAGGTGTTGGAAGACAGGTACAGGAGAGGAGCCTATCTGACTAGGAACGACGTCGTCGAAATATCCGCGACGTTGAGGCTGCCGCAGAGCAAGGTACATACACAGTATGAATGTCTTTCGCAGGAAACGCCACGAATCCGAACTCTTCGATTTCGATCGACTTTTGTGAATATGTAGCGCGACTCAATACGTAAATAAGAGTCAATACATACATAATGCAGACTCAATAAGTAATATGTGTAATTCGTGTCCGGGTTTGCTCTTTAAAGGTGTGATCATCGAATTGTACGAGATCGATTTTCGACCTCAAAGCCGAATGCTCCCACTTTATCGCGCGTAACTCGTGAACTATGAAAGATGGAGAGAAATATTTACGATGAGAGTTTAATGGCAAATTAAGGGCTACGAAATGAACAGAAATTAAGAAGAAATTTTAGAAAAATTGAAAACAAATTTTCTAAGATAAAATTTTTAGAAAAAAGGACGATATAGGTAATCCATTCAGCGGCTCAAAAACTACAAAGAACATACCATTTTTACTTGCCACTTCGGAGACTAAAATCGGCCCATTTTATCCATCGCCTTTTTTTAAATTTCTGCTTATGTCACTTTGTGGCTCTTAACTTTTCATTAAGGCTTCTGCCCTTTTATTCTATTATCTAACGATATCTAACGATATCTAACGTTAGATATCGTTAGATATCGTTAGTTATCGTGATATAACGTTAAATATCTAACGATATCTAATGTTATATCACGATAACGAAAATTTCGTTATCTTTAATGTATTTAGTTGCGCAGCTATTTTGCGGTTTATATCTGTTTTAGTTTAAGAGTTATACATGAAAAGGGGAAGCGTGCCTTTTGGCTTTGAAAATAATAATAATTTAAAAGGCGAACGGGCATAAATTATGTATACCGTTATTCGTGTATTGGGTCGCTCCACATACCTCCAGAATTTAATCCAAAATGAAGAGAGGTTTTAGGTTTGCGATCTTCTCTTGTCAGTAACGATATTCTGTAGTGTTTTCGCGATATTTGTCGATAGCTTAGACTGATTGAAAAGTATTTGAATATAACATGCGTTAATTTGTTATTGTTGAGAACGTCGCGCGAGAGTAATCGACGAAATAATATTTCTTCATGCATTTAGGTAAAAATTTGGTTTCAAAATCGTCGAGCGAGGCAACGACGTGAATCACTGAATTCCACCGTAACGACGCGATAACGTATACTTGATAATGGATTTTGGAATCTTGATCCACAAGAAATTTTACCGCAGGTCAACGCACGCAAGGGCTGAATCAGTATTATTTTAAGGTGATTTATCTTTTGACATAACATCGATTATTTTTATACCCCCGACTTGTATATGAATAAATTTATTTATGATTTTAGCGCATTATGTTTACTTTGAGTTTAGTTACACGAAGGACAGCGTATTCAAAAATATTCAGCGTTGAAACAACTGTCTTTGTTTGACGACGTCAGAAGTAAGAAAACGCATACCATGAATTCTTGTGTTATACGTATAAATAAAAAGATATACCCGCAAAATATTTGTGATCGACTTAACATGTTTGCAAAATTATTCGAACACTTTTCTTTTACTCGAATACTAATGAATAGTCATAAAATTAACACTGACAAATCATGAGAAAAGAGATTAAAAAAAGGAAGGTTCCATGTTAAATTAAATTTGTGTTTATTTATCGATTGTTCGAAAAAAAGTGTCCGGACAATTTTACAGTTACGTGTTGAATCGATCACAAATGTTAATTTATAGGTGTATTTTTTTATCTGAATGTATAAACGCAAGAATTCTTGGCTCTACGTTTCCTCGCTTCTGACATCACTAAGTAAGGATAATCGCAGCGAATATTCAGTAGCCTTAAAATACAGAAAATCTAAAAATAACGTCAAGATAAGTTGACGTGATTTACATCATGTACTTTTATCAAGGGTTTCGCGCAGTAAATAGGAATGGAGACGTTCGAATTTTTCGTCGTCTCGAAAATTACGGAAAATCCAAAAAAAAACAAAGTTGAATAACGCTCAAATCGAGATGGAAATAATGATGGAAATAGTAGCGAGCAATATAGAGAGATAGACAAAAAATGAAAATGGTACAAAAAACAAAGGAGTCACACAAGTTTCACGTATTTGATAAACACAGTTTACAGGCGAGGGAAAGCTTGTTGCAATTTTGCACATCTGTGCAAAGTGCAAAGATGGAACATCTCGAACCCTTTTCTTCCGTTAATCGATGTAATACAAGTAACATGATAACATGATAATTATTTCGTCGCGAGAAGAGAATAAACAAAGCGACAATTTACATTTCAACGAGTACAGACTTTACATTATCTCTTTCACGTTACCCACTCCATGCTGGACAAATGCTTCTCGGCGATATTGAATTTGACCATCGTTAAGCCGGATAATGAGAATTCGGGATATCGAAATAAATCGGCCGGCACCTCTCGTCGTCGAAGATCACGAATTCGAACGCGCGAATTCACCGCCGCTAAACGTGCGCGAGTCGCCCTAACAAGTCACGTGTTTTATCTTACGGGCGGTTCGCATGAGAAATGCCGAGACTATTGTCGAGGTTAGAGCGCGCACTCGTCCAATCGCATCTTGACGAGAGCGGACACCTCCGGAAAATCGTCGAAATTCCGATTTATCCGACCAGATTTTCGAACCTCGGAATGAAAGAAATTAGTATTTTATCGCGAATTATCCGACCGATCGTGCAGTGGTGCAGACGCGTTCCCGTACCGGAAACCGGCACGCGCTTTCGGTAGATTAGGTTTCGTGATTGCTGAGACAGAGGGAGGGGGAGGCGGCGGACGAGCCACCTACGGTAGTGGACAGGGTTGAGCGGGGGAGTATCTACGATACGCGACCGTCAGAAGTCTCGCTCGGTCCGCTCGTGTTCCTACTGGCTTCCGTCGCGTCAGCTGTTCCCGTCCGGCGGAGTAGTCGAGTAGGAGGAAGTAGAGGCGCGCAGCGGCGCACGCACAGAGGCGCAGCGCGAGATATCCCACTGTGGTTCGTGGAGCGCGAGAACGCACGCACGTACGCACGACTGAGCACGGCTCGCCGCCCGGGATGTCCGCGTGCCCGAAGATGCAGCAGCAGCAGGCGAATGGCGACGGTGTCGTGGCATCGCCGAGGAAGAAACAGCGCACCTCGAATGTAACAACGGGCGACTCGATATCGAAGGTTACGGTGGTGCTCGGCGCGCAATGGGGCGACGAGGGCAAGGGCAAAGTCGTAGATATGCTGGCGATGGACGCTGACGTCGTCTGCAGGTGTCAGGTACGCTCATGTCTCTTTCCTTCTTTCTTTCGCTCTTTTTTGTTTCCGTTCATTCGTTTATATTCCTATTTACCCGAACCTCGCGACTTCCCGCCTGCCGACCTTGCCGATGTCGTGGCGGTTGACAGAGAGAAAGAGAGAGAGAGAGAGTTCCTCTCCTCGTGAGAATATATTTGTACGTGCCCGGCGATCGTAACGTAGATCCATCCCGTGCAAAATCCGAGATCGTAGATCACGTGCTCATCCCGTGAGCGCCGAATTCTCGTCCAAAGCGACGATGGACTTCACCTTGTTCTTTCGTCATCAACCTTCGACCGCGCATCCGGCTGTGACTGAGGTTAGCCGCCGTAAAGGTCACGCTTGCGGAGGCCCGATGAGAGAAAAAGATATTCTCCGATTTTTCTCGGCATTTTCCTCGCCTCACCTGCGAGCGAGCGAGCGATTTGTGCTCGAGTATATTGCGCAAATTGCGTGTGCTAATCCCCCCGTTGTTTCTTTTCACCGTTTTATTTTTAGAAGTAACACCGCATGTCACCTGACCCGCGAGCATTACAAACACATCTGCGGCGGTATAACCTGTATCTTTGGGCGCTCGATCTATTATATAATTGCTGACGGCCATAAACGAGGTTTATTTCTGAGGAAATGTCATGCGAATTTGTCGTCACTCATATCTCTCGTATGAGCCGAGAAGAGAGATGGTTTTTACCGCGCGTTCAATTTTTATCTCATCATCAGTAAAAACGGGTTTTTATCTTTCTCACTGCTGTCCGACTAGGTTTTACAAGGATATCTTTTAGTCACGCATCATAATTAATTGAACTGTTCCCTTTTTAATTGAACCGGCTGCACTAGTTCGAAAAAATTTACATGCACATTGAAGTGTACGAAGCGTACCTACGAGATCTTTAGCTCCCACTTCGGTGTACATCAATTTCTCGAACTGACGCAGCCAATTCGGCGAAAATGAACAAAAGTCCAAGTTTACATTAACATTCCATCAATAATCACGATATATTAACTGTGAGAGAATTATAGAAAAGGGAAAGCTTGATATAACATCAGAAATTACTTAATAGAAATTACTTAATAGAAATTACTTAATACTAGAACATTAATCTGTATGTAACCGTCTTTTTATCTTTCGATTATATCTGATAGAAAACAGGCAGTAAATGTAGTATCATATATCTAATTATACTTCTAATGTGACTATAATGTCATTGCATACATCTCTTTGGAAAGTTCTTATACGTCTCGATTTGTAATTCGATAATCAAGTCGCAATAGAATCTTTCCCGTCATAAGTAATGGCGAGCCCTGTTTCTTCAAGTATTAATGTAATTTCACAGGGAGGAAATAATGCAGGGCATACTGTAGTTGTAGAAGGTGCCGAATTCGACTTTCACCTTCTGCCTAGTGGAATAATCAATCCCAGGTGCAAATCCGTAATAGGTAATGACTTCTTCAAATCAACCAGTAAAATTTAATCAAATTTATATCCTGGTTTGCGCTTGAATGAGTAACGTGTCTCTATGATTACTTTTCCCCTTGTCTCAGTGATTAATACAAAATAATGGATTATATAGAATAACACAGATTATTTATCGAGATAAGCACACAAGATCGTCAGTGTGCAAAATAGATAATTATTCCACTCGTTTATGTTACATAGGCTATTTTCTATATATACATATATGTCTCTTGATGTACATAAATTTATATTGAACTGTTACCTGAATCAATTCTGTTAGATCGTATAGATAATGTATAGCATACAGTTAATGTTTACTCATTCGAATTTATTTCTGTTCACAGGCAATGGAGTAGTGATTCACTTACCTGGTCTGTTTGAAGAACTGGAAAAGAACGAGTCTAAAGGACTTAAGGACTGGGAGGACAGGCTTGTAATATCAGATCGGGCGCATATAGTGTTTGATTTTCACCAACAGGTCGATGGGCTGCAAGAATTGGAAAAAGGTACACAGTCATTGGGAACTACGAAGAAGGGTATAGGGCCGACTTATTCAAGCAAAGCTGCTAGAAATGGGCTCAGAATCGGGGATCTTCTTGGGGACTTTGACAAATTCTCCCAGAAGTTCAACACCTTGGTTACATCCTATCAAAAGATGTTCCCTGCGCTGCATGTTGATATTAAAGCGGAATTGGAGCGTTACAAAGAGTACGTATATAACAACACACGCACGATTGTCTTATGTATGTAATTATTTTCATAATATAATTATTTATGATACTTCTCTTTGCGTGTAGATATTCCGAACGTATTAGGCCGTATGTGAAGGAAACTGTAAAATACTTACACCAAGCCCTGAAGGATGGTAAAAAGGTTTTGGTGGAAGGTGCAAATGCGGCAATGTTGGACATTGACTTTGGAACTTATCCGTACGTAACAAGCTCGAACTGCAGTATAGGCGGAGTGTTGACGGGTCTTGGTTTACCTCCTAACACGATCGGCGAGATAATCGGTGTTGTAAAAGCGTACACCACCAGAGTCGGCGACGGGCCATTCCCCACAGAATTGTTGGATTCTACTGGGGAGCTACTGCAGAAGAGAGGCCATGAAGTTGGTGTAACCACAAAGCGAAAAAGACGCTGCGGTTGGCTCGATTTACCGTTGCTGAAGTTCACAGCACTAGTTAATGGGTAGGTAACAGACACGGTTTTCCGGGTCGAAATTAAATTTGTTCATCTGTACGATTGATGTGACAATTATCTTTATTCGTATCGAGATTTGAGTGATTTTTCTTACTTCAGATATACCTCGATTTGTTTAACAAAACTGGATATTTTGGACACCCTGCCGGAGATAAAAGTGTGTGTCGGATACCGGTTAAATGGAAAGGACATCGACTATTTCCCGAGCAGTACTTCAGAATTAGTGAAGGTCGAAATTGTGTACGAGAAAGTTGAGGGTTGGCAGTCCACTACCGAAGGTGTACGATCGATAGACAAACTGCCTACGAATGCGTATAAATATATACGAATGATAGAAGAATATTTGAATGTGCCAGGTATATTTTTTTCATGTGCCTTACAACAGACAGCGGAGCAAAGGAAAGTTCCTTCCTTTTTTTGGAATAATTTAACAAAAAGAAAGAAAATATTACACACAGAGTGCTTTATATAATATATTAATGTATACAAAGTCTGCGAAATGTTCCGGGACGGCTGAATATCTCGGGAAGTAGACATTTCTGAGAAAAATATTTGGGATGAAAGTTACAAGGTGCAAAGTGACGTATTTAGTGATGCTAGGTGTAAATTCGACCAGGCAACCTTCGCATGGTACATCCTGGGTAACGCTAATGCCGACGATACTCTAACACATTCAACCCTCATATATCCCCCTCTTAAGTCCTGTGCTTCTTTGCAGAAGCGTGGTGACCTCTCTCTCTCTCTCATATGCCTGTGGCGCGCACGCTTATACACAGGCATATGGGCCCTACAGTTTAACGCCTGTTCCGAACGGCAAATTTTTAGAGAGGTGTTCAAATGGCAAAAGATACTAACCACTCTCGATAGGTTGCCACTTCTTTTCGAGAGGAGACACGAGCGAAAATATTTTTGGTTTTTACCGGGATCGAACCCGGAACCGCTAAGCACAGTAGACCAGTGCGCTGTCTGCTGCGCCACGCTCGTGCTCCAACCCTCATATAGGTCGGAAAATATTTAATGAAAAGAAAAACTTTATTGCAATATTTTGAGGAAACTCTTGATACCAGCTATTAGATTCTAGAATCAAAAATAAGATATTCCATTAAAAAAAAAATCAAAGTGACTATTGTCCTGATTTTTATGACGCAACCTAAAGTCAAATCGCTAACATCACTTAATACATTACTTTGCAACTTTTGTCTAAAATATTTTTCTTAAAAATGCGTACTTTCCGAGATATCCAACTGTCCCGAAACATTTCAGATATCTTATATAAAAATATTATTTAAAAATATTATTTTAATCACGAAATGCAAGTTAATCACCAAATGCAATCCCATTTTGCAAGGATATATCTTTTATTTACGCAACATTATTCCAAAAAAGGAAAAGTGAAAGTTTACTTATTTTATTACGCTTATTCGCTATATATTGTTCACTGCAGATTCGTGACAGAATTAGATATAAGAAGATTTTTCTGTTACAGTCAAATGGATCGGCGTAGGAGCAGGTCGAGAGAGTGTAATTGCCCTCTGACGATATACAGTTCGCAAGATGTTACTTAAAAAGCACACAATATTAAATGTATTATTAATTTTAATTTTATCTGTAACATTTACAATGCAAAGCTGATAAGCGCACACAAAGAGAAAGATTTTAACAATAAGTTTTCAGTGAATGTAGTATTATTGTTGAATTTAAGTGACACTAAATGTACACACACATAACATTGTACAATGTGAATGTTTAGTCATTTTGTAGTCAGTATCAGTGCTAACAAGTAAGCCGAAGATTATCCGAGATATTCGTTATGTATTATCTATTTTAAATAGCTGTATAGAAATATATACATATATATATATATATATCTATAATATATATATGTATATATTAAGGCATACTTGTGTTATTTGTCAATTAATGTTTTCAATTTTATCATTATATGTTTTTAGTTCATTGTACTGTGTTATAGAAAATAATTTGCCAAATGCTAAGTTTTTAATAATATATGCCTATGGATATAGAGAGAAATGTGCTGCCACGTTCTTGTTGAAAAAAAAAAGAAGTTAATCTGCCAAGTAAATATTGATATATCTCGATTAAACGTTTCGTTTCTCTTGTTTCATTGGCAGTGTAAGTTGCATATGCGTGTTAAGCGCTAATGTAGCACGGAGTGCTGAACTGAACGTAACCAGTACATGCTGTGTGTAGAATGTAAATCGAGGATTTCTGATAGTTGTGAGTATAATAAGAGTGTCTGCTGGCCTGCCTTATTAACGGCAACGGAAAAAGCCGAGAATCAACAAAATCTCATTGAAATTACCGGCGTGAAAGTAGGTAACGTGTGAAAGTAACCTATATTGTGTATATAACCTCAAATACTTGGTTGATTTTTTCTGGCCGTTAACTGTCACACGAGAAGAGTTCCAATAGCTTACTACGATGGAAATGCGAAATATCGTTGACTATATTTGAAAATTTTTGAAAATAGAAACAAAAATGGGTCATTAGGAAAATATCGATATATAGAACGACGCTCTCGGTTACAAGGAGTTATTAGGAAAAAAGAAATGTGTGAAGGAGAAAACATTATATTGGTCTCCAAAAAAACGATTAATTGATCTGTGAGAATATGATACACAACCTGAATGCACATATCTATAATAATGCAAATTTATGCAATTATTATTACAATGTATAAAATGTATACTAATGTTTTTTCACATTCAGGATATGCAGTTGCTTCAGTATTATGATTAAAGGGAATGATAATTACATAACAAATGTCGATAAATTATAATAAATTTTAATGGACAGAAATATTGAGGTGAAATTTTATATAACAATAACATTTCAATATAATTGTAATATTAGAATAATTATATAGTAATAACATTTTAAAAATTATTGCTTGATATAATAACATAATATGAAAAACATCAACAGTGTAATATGAAAAACATCAACAGCATAGTTTTAGAAGGGATATTCCGGGTGTTTATTGACACCCTTAAGAAAATGAAAGTCGCATATTCGTGCAGATTCTCCCATGTCAAGGCCATTTAACTTTTGGACATCTTCGTGTTGAAGTTCCCAATTAAATAGTTGTATGTTCTGTTTAATTCTTGTAGGATTTGTACTTTTCGGGATGGCTGTTATACCTTTTTGAATGATATGTTTGAGTAATATTTGAGCAGGAGTTTTCTTGTACTTTTCTGCCATTTCTAGCACAATGTGATTGTCCAATAAATCTGGCACAGTGTCTGTTCTTCCCAATTGTTTGACCAATCCGCGTGAACCCAAAGGTGAATATGCTGTCACTGTGATATTATTCTTTTGACAAAATTTCACCTGTTACACAAAGAGAATTTCAAGGTTCATTTTTGTGTTCACAGAGTTGTACTTAAGAAAATTTATCGCCGTATTCATTGTAGAAAGATATTCGTGTAAGTGACGTAGAACTCACCAGATCTTTCTGTTGAAAATATACGTGCAATTCGATCTGCAAATTCGAGATAGGCAATTTAGCATTGGTCAGAATTTTCTTTATCTGGAAAATGTTAAAGTTCGACAATCCAATCGCTTTGGTACGCCCCTCTCGCACTTGTTTCTCCATTGCCGACCATATTTTCAAGTGATCCGTGCTTGCGTCAATTCTTATTTCTCCTTTCTCATTCTCGGGATGCAGTTCTTCCCCGGCATCTTCAAAAGCGAATGGAGTATGCACCAGATACAAATCCAAATAGGTCAATTGCAAGTTATCAAGCGATCTTTTAAGCCATTTTTCTACTTCTTCCGGCCTGTTACCACTAGGTGGAAGCTAAGAATAAAAATACATCATCTATAGAATGTCTTAGGCCAACGGGGATAAACTTCACGAGAGTTAGAACGAATTGAGATAAATAAGAAATCCTACACCATTTTGCGAACCCAAAATTTCGGGTTATTAGTTATTGAAACTGGCCATATAGTTCATATAGAAGGGTTTCTTTAATTAATAACTAAAAAAAATTACGTATCGTTATTTTCTAAATAACACGCAAATTTTTCAGTTATTAACTAAAGAAACCCTTCTTTATGACCTATATGGCCATTTTCAATAACTAATAATTCCAAATTTTGCGTATTCATAAGATGAATTACAGGATTTCTCTGAAAAATGTGTGTGTTACTTGCAAAATAACAATACGCAAAATTTTTAGTTATTATATAATTAGTTAACAATGCTCCTATATATAGCTATTTTAAATAATCAAATCGAAATTTTTGGTCTGTTACTTATAGTTAAGCTGGCTGCGCTTATTAACGAAATTTACATACACATTAACACTTTGCAGCCATCCGAAGACGCTTGACTAATGTGTTTGAATTTATCGAAGGCATAATACGAAATTAGCCGAGCTTATTTGGTGTTTTCTTCTTACACAGTACGATATACAATACGACGGCACCATGCCGCCGACGGGTCGTAACGTCGAAACGAGCGCGGCGGACGCAAAGTGATAAAGCTTCGCTAGTTAACGAAATTTTCATACACAGTAAAGCTTCTTGAACTAGTATAGCCAATTCAGCTATAAAAAACAGACCATTTGCGTGTTGTTTGTAAAATCGTAGAGGACTTCTTCAGTTCAACTCGATTCATCGTTCACGTCCTCACGAAGTTTATCCCTGTTGGTCTGAGATACTTTGTATATCAGTACTATTAACGTAATTACTATCGATACATGAAAAGTTGAATGGCATACCTTTGTTACGATAAACAGCTCAGATCGACTGATTTTACCCGAGCTCAACCATTTCTTCAGAACATTACCGATAGCACGCTCGTTTTGATATATCGGAGCTGTATCTATGTGCCTATATCCTGCTTCCAAGGCTATATCCAATACTGTTTCCAACTCCTTTTCGCTTGCCTTTTACCACATAATATATCATTATACAATGTTTTAAGTTGAAAAACGGTATCGTTATTATATATTGGAATATTTCATAATATATTCTTTAATAATTTCAATTTAAGGCTACTGTGTCCTTATCTTGGTTGTTTCTCGTTTGACGACGTCGGAATGACGTGAAAAAGTGTACTTTCATATCAAATAATCAGCGGCTGCACGTTTTTATGACTAGAAGTTCGTCTTGTGCTAAAAGTATCATTCTATCTACTTTCGACATGCAATGAGCAATAAAGATAGAATAATATTTTCAGCACCGAAGTACATAAGACGAATCTAACTTATGTGTGGCCTTGACTAGTCAGTAAAAAATAAGTCTATTGTTAGGACTTATATTCTTGAAACATTTGTGTTTACGTGTTATCGCGCGGTTCAATTGTAAATAATAACACAGCTGCGCAACATTGTGCAACGCAATTACGTAAAATATAGAAATCCAGAGAACGATATTGATAAGTATCTTTAATAATATGTTTTAACCTTATCGTTTCCTCAATATTATCATAAAAACATTATAAATAGGAAAACTTTAGCGCAACGTTATTTGCAACGTTATGGTATTCCCATTTCAACGACTATCGAAATCTCTAAATCTAATGTCAAAGTTTGTTCACAATGATGTTGTATACAATATTAAATACGACATATTTTAGAACGTTATTACATGTTATTGAATATCGTTATAATAACATCGCAATATGCTTTTTTGCTTACCGAGTAGATCTTTCGATACAATTGTCCTTTTTTAATGACGTTAGAATTTTAAAAGTGTGCTGAATCAATCACAAGTGTTATTTTGTAGATATATCTTTTTCTTTGAAAGTATAACGCCAAAAATCTTGGCACGCATTTTCTCGCTTTTAAAAAATGTCATTAAATAAGAACAATCAGCGACTACAGCGGAGCTTTAAACAAAACATTCTTTGTATGTAAGAAGTAAATCATTCTTTCATAAACTCACATTCCAAGTTCCAAATCCCAAGATGGGCATTGTCTGCCCAGTGGGAAGAAGTACACTCGAGTTTAAGGCCATGTTCGAGGTATTTTGTAAGAATGCTGAAACAAGACTGTAGTAGACTGAAAAATGACACCGCTAATAATACTGTCGATCCCACCACACTTGAGTTTGTACTCACTCTCTTTCGCATACTTTTACTCGTATCCTTCAATTTGTTCTACGTAGTTATTCAAGCGGCACAGTAACTTTCAATTTATCTTTTCTTATCTCATAATATCAGTAATATATTTTGTTAATAAATATCTATTCTTCGACTTACGACTTGTTTTTTAAATATTATGTAACAACCTGACTGTCAAGACTATTTTTATATTTATTTTATTTTCTTATATAAAGTAGTAAAGTGTTATAAATTGTAGAATTTGTTATATAAAGTAGTAAGTGTTATAAATTGTTTATCTTGAAATTTTGAGTTGACTGGAAAATTCCAGTAGATGGGAAAACCATAGTGAGTTTCGGTTTTTACCATCCCGGATTTTATTCAATGAAATAAACTGGCAAAAACTATAAAGAACTAATATGTGATACTAATATATGTATATAACTTCATGCAAAAAAATATTTTTGCTTTAATTAATAAATTATATTAATCGCTATGATTTAAAGAAAGACGAAACCAATATAATAATACAATCTTTTTTAATTTATTAGATGTTCCGGTTAGTTTTGAGGGATTCTTTGTAAAAAAAAAAGACGTTTATTTTAGAGAGACGTTAAATTATATTTTACTCGAAATATTTTCTATCGCTAACTGTAATCTTTTTCCACTTTTTTGGCAGTAAATGAATTCTGCGATAAAAAAAAATGTTTGTCCTTCGAAGCAATCTATTCATCGAATCATTTTTTTTATTTCTTCGTATATTTTTTTCTTATATATATATATTTCTTCATATATTTTGAAGTACTATTTTCAGCAAGGTTGTGCGGCATCGATCAAAGTAAATGATAACCTGAAGGAACATATTCTAGTAAAAACGCCGTATGCAACAAGGCTTCTCATTAAAGTGCTGATAACGTATTTTTAACTGCTTTTCACCACATGTGGTCGAGCATTGCCGCGCATTGAGATTACTTTGCACAATTTTTGAGCTATTATGCTAGCAAACTGCGAGTTGACAAAGTCTGCGGTAGATATGATGCAAAATCTGCTTTTATAGATTTGGCTATTTAGGCCCAGATAGCAAAATGTATTCGCAATAGGCAGAACGTGAGGACGAAGAATAGATATCCTCACATCGAACATTAAAGTAAGATTATAGGAAAGTTATATTTTTACATATTTGAATAAAAATGTTACTGATACGTACCATTAATCTTACAATATAGCCTTACATTATAATATTAGGTCATTGAAATCTTATTTCAATATTTTAGCAATTTTACATTTTATGTGTGATTTTTGTTTTACTTTTGTTCTACTTGTTAGTATAGGGCTTGCATGGAAAATATTTTTTTTATTTAAAACTATTTGATTTTAATTTCCTTGGATCTGTTTCTAACTAATTTATTGTTTGGATTAACCATTATAAATGATTCTACTTGGGACGTGTTATAAATAAGCGTTCTACTTGTTTTCTTTTATACTTGGAATATTCACTTTTACAATAACTTTCCAATTCACAAAAAACCATAAATTAAACAGTTATAATATATTTATCAAGCTCTATGTACCGTTTTCGGTATGCGCGGCGTGAATTGAAAATGATATAAAAACGATATGAATCAAGAAATGTGTTAACTGACTATTTCATGAATAAACAAGTATATGTAAGAACTATTTCAACATTGCGAAAATATTCATAGAAAACATGAGTATGTAATCGCACGTTTTCCACGTGCGATTTTTTGCGTGCAAGTTGTTGCGTATATAGAGGCGTTCCAAAGTCAACAGTTGTTTTTTACATCTTTCAGAGCGAACATAATATATAATGAAGCGAACTTATGATTTACGAACATGCACAATACATTACCAGAGAATTGTCAACATTACATATATGTACACACGTAATGTTGACAAGTATGTATCTAATTTTTACAGCTATCTGACTATTTATTTCGCATATTCGCGAATCATAGGTTTGCTTCATCGTATCTTTTGTGTGTTCTGAAGTGAGAAAAAAAAAACTGTTGCAACCGTGCCGTGACCGATTTTACGGGATCATAGCAATAAGGCGTCTCAGATTACCTGAGAACTAAAATATTGCGAATCATAGATTTGCTTCATCGTATCTTTTGTGTGTTCTGAAGTGAGAAAAAAAAACTGTTGTAACCGTGCCGTGACCGATTTTACGGGATCATAGCAATAAGCTAAAGATTACCTGAGAACTAAAATATTGACGAAAAGAATTCCTATTAATTTATCGTTTTTAGTAGAAGACTATTTTTTATCGTTTTTCTGGGAAATACCGGTCTTTACTATTGGATTTTTTTTCTGGGAAATACCGGTCTTTACTATTAGACTTGACAAAGAAAAATCTGGAATTTCGCAAACTGCGCAAAATTACGAAGAACGGCGATAAATTTCTTTTTTATATTTAAAAAATAAGACAGCACGTGTACATTTTTATAATGCTTGTTACTTCCATGTCATTGAGAAAAAGCAAATTTATATTTAACCTGCAAGTTGAATCATTGTCTATTGTTATTGTTATTTTTTCAGATAATATTCCAGTCTGTGTAATGTACGTTTGCATCAATTGCGGGGCCGAGTGCAAAGAGCTCTTTAGAAGATACTGTCCCAGTGTTCTCAAAGTTTTAAAATGTGTAAGTGAAAAACGCGACTCTTAGGCGAACACCAAGTCAGAGATCATTGATCTTGCATTTATTATTTATATATATATTTCAGGAAGAATGCGGTTTGTCAGCTGATAAATATATCGAGTACGATCCGGTTCTAGTTTTTGTGGATCTGATCTTGATAGAAAAGCCAGCTTACAGACATCTTCTGTACAACAGCGACTTCAAGTCGTACTGGAAATTGAGTATCATATTATGGCTGGCCGAATCGTCCAGAGCTTGGTCCTCCTGCGAGATGAGCAAGGCGGAATTAGCCGCGTCGGAAACGGTTCACAACGACGCGTTACAGGACCGCTGCAATTTTTACAATTTGCTGCTCCACACCGCGCTGGCCTTCGCGGCGTTTGTTTTTGCGGTAATTACGGTGACTGAGTTCAGATGGCTTATCGCCCGTAAGAAACCGTACAAATATAATGTCAGGGACTTGAGTCGCGCTCTGACAGCCGGCGGTTGTGGTAAATTGCTTGGGATGTTAGGGATTGTATGGAGGCACATAGCATCAGGCCCGTATTACGTTCTTATTCAAGGTTACACGGTTTTATGCCTCTTGACTGCGTATTCAGGTGAGAATCTATTTTAATGACCACAGATTTATGTAAGACGTTCAATATAGGTTTATTGCAACCTTGAAACTCATAAATTATACTTATAATCCATCTTTGATCGGTAATTACTTAATAATACATACAGTGTATCCCCTGTTCCCCTGTGTGTTGCAGTTGTATGCAAGACTGGAAAGGGAGGATCTTTGATTGGATTGATCAGTGGATTTCTGCTGTATGGTTATATATGTACTTCCACCCTTAAATTGCACCTAATTATTCCCAATATCACGCTAACATGAACATGTAAATGCCCGTTAAAGAAAAACCATACATAGTTTTTTGATCAGTTTTCAAGCATCTTTAACGGGAAGAATGCTCCAGCCCAAGACTAGTCTGTCGAAACCGCAAGAAAATAAATTACACACGCTATTATCTTCCAGCCAGGCGACGGAGCACACCATCCTACGATGACCCTGCAAACATCACGATATGTATATATTACGTGATTATTATTCAATATATTCATAGAAAATAATGCCAAGTCAGTTACGTTTTGTATAATGTATATTGCCAAGTCAGTTACGTTTTGCATAATGTTTACTGTATATACGTAATAACTACAATATGACACGGAATGAAGGAATATATTTAAAAATCAATCTATAGATAATAATGATAATATATTCGAGTAAAATATATCGGTGTTGGTTCATTCAAACAGTTAAAAGGATAAGTATTCATATATAACGAAACAGATATCTGTTTGTAATCATATTCTTCACCTGTCTGCTGGTTCTAGGTAGTCTTGCCAGACGTTGACCGCTTAAGTCGAATAAACGTATTTGTCTATTGTCATGTGGTATTGCCACGATCCCGGTACTAGAAACTGACAACCGATTGGCAGCACTATCTCCGCGTATTGTCGCCAATGGACTGCGTATGTTACGTAGTTCCCACACCTTCACGCTTCTGTCGTCCGATCCAGATACGATTTTATCTTCCCGTGTAAAAACGGCAGACGTTACGGTTCTATAAGAGGGAGAGGCATGCCAGCTGTTAATTTTAGTCGTTCGATGTTACATAGACGAGACACTGAAATATTAATTAAGCTCGCTCGCTTTAGACGACCTATAATGTTTGCGCGACAGACTTCTATTTATAACCTTCTGTGTACATCGTGTATACGTAACATTCTGACAAATCCCTCGAAAATTCGTTTTCGAGTTTCGAAATTCGTTTACGAATAGAATTCTCTCTCAAATTCCGTACGTGTGAATTTTAGATCGCCTGAAATGTGGAGGACTTGAAAAAAAAAATATGATTAACATCAGCCGATAGCGGCGATAACGATACGTACTCCGTATGACCTTGGAACACCGACACCGAGTGTATCGGCTCCCGGAAGTCCCACAGCCGAAACGTGTTATCTCTGCTGGACGTGACACACAATCTCTGCGTGTGATGAGTCGATACGTGAGTCAATTCTTGATCGTGCCCGCACAGGGTGTGTATAATTTCTCCGGTTTCCGTGTCGTACAAGTTCGCCGTTCTATCCCAGGAGGCTGTAACCAACTGTTCAGCGCCGGGAAGCCAGTCCGCGGCCATCACGACGTTCGTATGGCCGAAGAGCTCGCGTATCGGTGTTCTCAGAGTCGGAGGATCGTCTTGTTCCTCGTTGTTGCTGATTAGATTATTGGTAGCAGATCGTTCCGAGCTGGCTACTGGAAGTTCCTCCAACGACGGTACTCTTTTTGGCATGTCCCAGTCGACAGCTGCTTGCCACACGTGAGCGGAATTGTCGCCGCTCGCTGATAACGCTAATTCCCGGTTCGGGTGAAATCGCACCGAATTCACGGATCCGCCATGACCGATGTACTGCAATAAACATCGGCCACTGTCTATCGCCCATATGCGTGCTGTATGATCAGCGGAGGCAGTTGCTACGATAGGTTGGCCAGACCTGCCCACAGACACCTCCCATACGCCATCGCGATGACCCACGTACTCTCTTTGCATAGTACAAGTCATCGATGGTGTTTTGAAGCTCGATACTATTTTACTGGTCTGCGCCTTCAGCTTGTGAGAAGCTTTGATCTTTTGCGCAGAGTTCGCACCCATCGCTAGAAGCAAAAGCAAAATCGTTACCTGGCTTGGAGAACATGACGTAATATAAATTGTCGAATTTAAATTGCAATGTACTGTTTAGCCTTGTCTACAACTACTTACTTTTAATGAACGCAAACATTAAGTGACGTCATATCTGACTCGAAACTCTGATCCGTAAGCCATGAGACGTAGTCCTTGTCCGCAATCTTGCTTTAAGATGTAAGCAGTAGGCAAATTGACCAACCACGGCCGTTTGTTAGAAGAATAATCGACCGTGGTTTGTCGATTTGTTTGTTGTAAAGGGAAATCGGCAATTCCCATTTAAGATGTGAGCAGCGAGGAAATTGACCAATCACAGTTAATAATTCCTCGACCGTGAGGAGAACAACCAACTGTGATTGGTCAGTTTTCTTATTGCTTAAGTAAGTAGCGTGGATTATTTGATCTAATAAATCAATAAATTAATTAATTATCTAATAAGTTAAGGCTTACAGTTTATGGCTTAGTGCTTAAAGCTTAAAGCCTAAGTGATAAAAGCAAGGTTGTAAACAAGGCCTCTGTATTGTATAGAAACGTTGTAAACAAGGCCTTTATACCCTGCATTATTTATGATCATTTGTATCGCCGCACTGGCGAGACTTACATTTTTGCTTGGAGAGATTCTTCGTTTCCGGGTAATCCATAAGATCTCCTGGAGGTAAACTGCGCTCACCTGACCCATAGCATTCCCTCTCGAGTCTGTCGTTTAAAATGTCAATCTTCTCCTGTACTATAATAAGATACATACACGCATACACGGCGGTTATACGTTGACACTGGTGTGACATTGATGTTTCGCCGGATTGCAAAGCAAGTGAAACTTACATCCTATATTCTCGGTGTAGAGCATTTCGAATTCCTTCTCGATCTGCTGAAAGAGATCATACAGGCGGCATCGCAGAGCCGGCGGGACTGGGCTGTCCTCTAACTCCGAGCGAAAGCAAATATAGTGCAACGCGGGCTGCAACGGGGTCGAGCCGCTCTGTTGCGACTGTAGCTCGGTGTCGGTGCTGCTTTGTACGCGTGGTATGGAGATCCTCTTAGCCTTGCCACTGGATTTACTTCCAGTTGTGGCCGATGGTTCGCCGGGCATGACTTGTTACTTAACGACGACGACACAAACAGCAGACGAGCATGTTCCACCGGATCTCACTTTCGTACGTTGGCCGATCACTTAGACTTTAGAGTCACTGCATTATTGATCACGTATAACGTGCGCGACTCGCCGCCAAAGTGCACGGAGTAATTGATTAATAATTTTATCGGCATTATCGAGCGACAGACTGTCTTACGTCAGTCCATCACCCAACTAACTTTGCGGTAATTGCGTTCTACGTCCTCCTCGTATCTTATCGGGAAAAGCACAAATGTCAAACCAACCTCGGTTGGACGCAAACGCGGAAAGCAGCTGTAGCAAAAGGTGGCGGTACGTTTGAAAGTGCTGTGTTTCCGTTAGAAGTAGATATTCTATAAAAATATCCGCGATATATATATATATATCGCGGCATATATGCGGATATCCCCTATAAGCGCGTAATGTTATTTAATATTAAGTAATAATTCTGGAATATTAACAGATGGATTGCATGTCCACTCCTAATAATATTATTTAATAAGGTATATATCCGCAACGATGACGGAAGCATTAAAGTACTAATTATAGATTTCCCTTAAATGATTTCTGAATGAGTAAGAGATGATCGGTCGGCAAAGTAAAAGGAATGATCGTGAATGAATTTGAATCGTTCGAATTTGTTCTCAATCATTTCGACAGAATTAAGCCGTCTTTATATATAATGAGTTTAACAATTATATAGAGATAGAATGGTATTATACGGCACATACCTGGTGAATTAATTTTTCAACAAACACGTTGTGATGATGCAGTGATAAGTGAAAGATAACGCACACGCGCGCTATTGTGAAATTGTCAATGATATACTCACGATTGTCCCGAATGTAAAGCGAGTTATATAAAAATATCACGTAACGAGCATCGTGTATGTAAATCGATGTGTTATCACCCTCAGCGTTGTTTTCAAGAATAAATTATCGAACAGCGGAGGGGAGAGGATGAAGTAACGTTTCTTCCGGATATTCCTTTCAATAAAGTCATCGATAAGTGCTCGAATTACCCTAGAAAAATCGTTTTCTAGGGAACTTCAGGAAACTCGTTTCCCGTCAGAAGGCTTGCCTCCTATTGGACGGTTTTTGGAAATTCCTCCAATGAAAAATATCGTCGCCATTTTTCCCGCGGGGAATGGGTGCGTTCAGAAATTCCACTTGACGGGTTAAACAGCGTTTAATTGACCAATCAAGGTGGAAAGAGTGAAAATTTCTTTATCATGATTGGTTAATAAATGCTCTGCTCCACCATTCGAATGAAATTTCTGAACGCACCCGACGCATCGCGTCAAATACATCATGAAAGTTTCCCGCCAAATTAGATATTTGCGGCTATTCACATACGTACTTGTTTATTTGATACGGTCTGCGCGTTTGATCAAATAGCTTCGATTAGATACTCGCACGATGGAAGGCTTCGATGATCCGGGAGTGTTTTTCTCGGATAACTTCGCGGTAGACGAGACCCACGAGAACCAAGTGAACCTCCAACACTCGAAGAAGAAATTCAAAGAATTTATTCGGCAATTCCACGAGGGTAACTTCAACTACAAATATCGGTAATTGTTTAAAATGTTTGCATTCTCTCATGTACACCTATGCAAGATTTTATAATCGTCTTTTAACACGAATATCTCTAACACTCGCACATTTTTTCTGTCATGATCAGAGACACCTTGAAACGTAATTACAACCTTTGTCAATACTGGCTGGAAATTAATTTGGAGGATCTAGCAGCCTACGATGAGTCTCTCGCTGAGAAAATTCAGAAGCTTCCAACGGAATACCTGCCCATCCTGGAGGAAGCCGCAAAAGATGTCGCAGATGAACTCACAGCACCTCGGCCAGAGGGTGAAGAGAAGATGGAGGATATTCAGGTGCTATTGTGCTCGGATGCTCATCCAAGTTCTCTGAGAGGGATGAAGGTAAAACCGTAATCAGCAGTCAATTTGCACGATAAAGAGGAAATGGAAATAACAGAGCTGAAATGCGATTTGGAGAAATACGCTCAGATACAAATGATTGTAGATTTAAACATAGAATAAACAACATATATATAATGTGAATTTTTAAGATACAATACTTTTGATTAAATATGTAATTTCATATAATTATCTTACTGTTACAGCCGGATATCGTCTCAAAGATAGTCAAAATTCCTGGTATAGTCGTTTCTGCATCCGGTATCAGAGCTAAGGCGACAAAAATTGCAATACAGTGTCGTTCGTGCAAGGTTACCCAAGTCAACATTCCTATTAAACCAGGTTTGGAAGGATACGTGCTACCTAGAAAATGTACGACGTAAGTTCCTTGTGAGATTTTTTATTAATCACTTTACAATATATTTCCATACCGTCTCACATTGCTACACAAGCAATTTTAATTTCCTTTATTTCCAGGGAACAAGCGGGTCGGCCGAAATGCCCTCTGGATCCCTTTTTCATCATGCCAGATAAGTGCCACTGCGTGGACTTCCAAGTTTTGAAACTTCAGGAATTGCCGGATCACATACCACAGGGCGAGATGCCCAGACATCTGCAATTGTACTGCGACCGGTACCTTTGCGACCGTGTTGTACCTGGCAATAGAGTGCTGATTCTCGGTATATATTCCATCAAGAAAGTGTCTAAGACAGGTGGCAAGGGTGCAAGCAGGGAAAAAGCATTAGTGGGTGTTCGAGCTCCGTATATTCGAGTTCTGGGCATCTCCGTAGATGGGGAAAATACGAATATTGGTGAATTGATGGCACAATATCTAAGCATTTAATATCCATGTGACTATTTGCATGTTATCTTTTCTTTGTGTTTCTCTCACGTAGGAACTCAGCCGCCCGTCACTACCGAAGAGGAGGATCTCTTCACCCGCTTAGCGACAGATCCGAATTTATACGAGAGAATTGCGAAGAGTATAGCACCCAGCATTTTCGGCGCGATCGACATAAAAAAGGCTATAGCGTGTTTGTTGTTCGGTGGATCCAGGAAACTGTTGCCTGATGGTCTTTGCAGGAGGGGCGACATCAATCTCTTGATGCTGGGTGATCCAGGCACTGCTAAGTCGCAATTGTTGAAATTCGCAGAAAGAGTCGCCCCGATAGCTGTTTACACGTCGGGAAAGGGTAGTTCTGCAGCCGGTCTAACAGCATCTGTGTCAAGAGATCCAGCAACTGTAAGTTGTATTTTCGAATCACCATCGTGAACTTTCGTGGCTAACAAGTACACGGAAAAAAAAATTAGTGTCAAGATTCATATTCTCATGTATAAGCAAGTATGTGTAATATTATAGCAAAAAGAAGTGAAACTTGCTTACGTGAAGAAATCCTACATAGTCTCAGTAAAAATATCGAATAGAAGAAACGATATCTTCAAATCGTGTACTCTTGACATGAAGATAATTGTCTTTTCTAACCGATATTTCTTCCTTTCATAACAATTATTCTCAAATAACTAAAATATGATATTTTTAGCGGAACTGTATAGAATTTCTCCGCGTAAATAAGTTTTATCTTTATATAAAACTATATATTCTTATATATGAAAATATGATTCTTGAATTGATACAAATTTTCTTCTCGTGTATACTTTATGACTTAACGTGCTAATAATAATGTAGATATATATTACTGTTTTCAGAGGAACTTCGTCATGGAAGGTGGTGCGATGGTTTTAGCGGATGGTGGGGTCGTGTGTATCGACGAGTTTGACAAGATGAAAGAGGACGACCGAGTGGCGATACACGAAGCCATGGAGCAACAGACGATTTCTATAGCGAAGGCGGGAATAACGACAACTCTGAACACACGTTGCTCCGTGTTAGCGGCGGCTAATTCCGTCTTTGGCCGTTGGGATGATATAAAGGGAGAGGAGAACATAGATTTCATGCCGACGATATTGTCACGTTTCGATATGATATTTATTGTTAAGGATGAGCACGAACACAATAGAGATGTGACGTTGGCTAAACACGTTATAAGTATTCATTGTAATGCTGGCCAGATTACGGAACAGTCGGTAGAGGGTGAGATCCCTGTGCACATTCTCAAGAAATACATTAATTATTGCAGAACGTAAGTATCTTGTTATGTATAAAGCATGAATTTCACGGATCTTAACGAGTCATATTTCTCTCGTGATGACGCAGACGTTGCGGTCCAAGGCTCAGCGTGGAAGCGGGGGAGAAATTGAAGAATCGTTACGTGATGATGCGAGCCGGCACGAGGGAACACGAGAAGGACTCCGAGAAGAGATTGTCTATACCCATAACAGTCAGGCAACTCGAAGCTATTATACGAATGTCCGAAGCTCTGGCCAAGATGCAGATGCAACCTTTTGCAACTGAAGTCCACGTTAACGAAGCTTTGAGGCTCTTTCAAGTGTCTACGCTAGAAGCTGCAATGTCTGGATCGTTAGCAGGTAAAAACTGCAAATTTAAAATATAAATGGAATTGTGATATTATAATTATTCTAAATTAATTTTTCAACTTGATTGATTTACTTATTTATTTATTGTGATAACAGGAGCGGAAGGATTTACCTCGGAAGAAGACCACGAAATATTGTCCCGTATCGAGAAGCAATTGAAAAATAGATTTCCTATTGGACATCAGGTATCTGAGCAAAATATAGTGAAAGATTTTCTCAAACAGTCATTCCCAGAACGCGCCGTTTACAAAGTTATACATACGATGATACGTCGCGGTGAACTTCAACATCGTTTGCAACGTAAAATGTTGTACAGACTGCATTGAAGAATAACGGAAACGTCTTCAATGTATAATTATATGATATCGTATTGTTGCGCTTTTTTTTTTGTATGTTACGTAATCCTCTTTCAACTATTTCAATACGAACTAACGATTCCTTGCGTGTTAATTTATAATAATTGCGGAAGTTCACTTTTAAACGGATAATGGGGATGATCCTCGATCCTGAAAAGCGAATAATTTGTTACGTACGTTATTTTAAAAGTATGACTCCCTGTACAACCATTTTACACATGGAAGAGAGGAATTTATATAAGAAATATACAATATTTTTATATCGCCGATATATTTCAACTGTTGTAATATCTAAAAAAAAAAAATAAGTGCGCATTAACTTACCCCTTGAAAAATAAGAAGTTGAAGATCCTCCCACTGGCATTTTTATCTAAAGTACTCAGCTGTTTCATATCTTCCTCTGTCAGAGCGAAATCAAACAGATCGATATTTGACTTAATTCTTTCCGAGGATGAGCTTTTAGGAATAATGACGATGCCCAATTGCAGTAAGTAGCGCAACAAAACTTGCGCTGATGTTTTCTCACATTTCACAGCGATGTTTTGAACAATCGGATGATTGAGTAGATCGGGAAATTCATCCAGATTGTAGTTATATTTCGTTCGGAAGTGTGTCTTAGCAGCTGGAGATCCCAGCGGACTGTAACCTGTCACGATGATATCGTGCTTCTTGCACAATTCTCGAATTGATTTCTGCTGCAAGTACGCGTGCAATTCTACCTAACAACACACGAAGTTCACTTGAGAAAATCGTTGCATAATAATTCACAATGGTAGTTGTATACTCATCGTATTTCAGTCTATATTAATTTACCTGGAGATTACTCGGTTTTATTTGTGCGTTCTCCAATATAGTCAAAATTTGTTCTTCATTGAAGTTACTTAAACCTATAGACTTGGTACGTCCCAACTTGACTTGCTCCTCCATTTCCTGCAAAATGACCTCGTGATTTCCTTTCAGAAATTTCCTTTGTACATCACGGTGTATATCTTACCAGAATTGTTCTCATACCTTCCACACTGAAATAGGATCTGTATCAAGATCGAGTATGTAATTTCCATCCTCATCAGTCGCCGCAGCATGTGTTCCTTCATCCAGTTTAAATGCAAAGGGCATGTGAACGAGATACATGTCTAAATAATCCAATCCAAGCTTCTCCAATGACAATTTAATAAATTTTGCCACATCGGAGGGTCGATTGCCAAAGTGAGGCAACTGAAAACATTGTAACAAAACCTGAATGTATTTTTGCTTAACAAAAAGGACCCAGCATGATAATTATTAAATAATTCATCGTATTAAATCTTATTCTTATATAATAGGTTTACCTTTGTTGTAATAAAAAGTTCTTCTCTGGTGCCACCTTTCTCGAACCACTTTTTCAAGGCGTTGCCAATAGCTTCTTCATTGTTATAGTTGCTCGCTGTGTCGATATGTCTGTAACCACATTCTAGAGCGCTACTCACGGCAGTTTCAATTTCTTCTGGCTTAGACTGAAAAAAACGTTGCATTCTTTTAAAAAAATTGAAAAATCGTTCTCATATTTGCCAGGGCTGTTTTTGCATGCCGAACAAGAATTGGTAGTACGGAAGAAAGGTGGATACAGGGGCGTGCAAATTGATGACGTTATAAAACATGATTACGCGCACAAATTAGAGAAAACTGTGTTACTATTATCAGCAAGGCGTCTTAACGTTATCTTATCACCTGCCACGTTCCTAGTCCTACAGTGGGCATATCATATCCTGACAGCAGTCGTACAGAACGCATACTTGATCCTTGTGTGTTCAATGTTCTTGTCACTTCTCAGCCATAAATAAGAACCTATGCGAATGAGAATTACAGCAAACGCGTTAATACAGCGACGTCATATTCAGGGGAATAATTCTGCGTTCGAGTTCCGTATAGTGCCGTACTATTTTTGGTGAAATTTATATACGAGATAAACAGTACCGCTTGGACACGTCCGCGTTTCTAAAGTTAGATGCACCCTAGCGGACACGCAAATCCCTGCACACGTTGCGAGGCTGCGGTCATATATATTTCAAAGTCGTATTGATTGCGCGAGGGTTGCCACGCCGCGGCTGATTCAGGTAAGAGAAGCAACGCTCGCCTCGTTTAAGCAGCAGTAAAATCGAAGAAGGACGGCTCGGGTGAATATAATAACTGAAGTTTACGCAGGAAATGATAAACTGGAGAAACAAACGAAACATCTTGAGAAATGAATATCGAAAATATGACGACGAAAGAAAAGAGAATTGGCAAAGTACAAAATGTTATATATTCATAGATAATACACACAACCATCAGTTTACAATTGCAATATTCATATTCGTCGCATTGATCGCGTATCAAATAATCTTAGAATATATTTCTCAGTCGTGATGTGTTAAAAGGAATACGCTTTTGGAGGAATTAGTGCACTTGAGATGTACATCACGCTCGTTACATAATAGTTCTTACATATACGAGGAAAAACATCTGAATACACTTTAATCTCACAATATAAAAGTTGAAGTGTTGAAGATACAACACAATATAAAAGTTGAACTGTTGAAGATACAACTGTTTTATATATATATATATATATATATATATATTGCAATGAACATGCTTGATTCAAATATCGCATTGCATTTCGAAACTCAATTTTTTTCAAATCGTCATATAGGCACTCTTTTTTTATTAAACGTTACTAATACTCATAAACTAATACTTATATATTAATACTTATATATTTATAAAGATATATGTATACTATAAATATATATATATCTGTAGTACAAAAAGTGCTTACACATCTAATTTTTTATGATCTATCGCGTGTCCTGGTTCATGTATCATTGTCATCATCACTGATCCTTTACCGATCATTACGAAAATAAACTTCGGTAACATTATCTTATATCAGAGTCAAATATCCGCTGTCCGTCAGGCTGTATAGTATTTCCACAGGTCTTGACTTTTCACTTCGTAATTCCCTCATTCTCTCGCATATCTGCTTGACGTACTTCTTATGCCGTGGATGCCTGAAAATCAATATATTTCGTATAATAATTGAAACAAGGAGATGTATAATAATTGAAACAAGGATTGTTCACAAACAATTCATAGTTTAACTCACTTGTTTATCACGATTTGAATACTCTTATGGAAGATCTGCTCCTCCTCATCGATCTCCAAGAAACTGATTATCGTCCTTACGACAGACATCTCCAGGAAGACCGCAAAGATCTCGATCGAAACTTTATGCGATATTCTCTGCAAGTAGGACGACATTTGCGCCAGTATGCTGTTCTTGAAACTTCTCCTGCCGCTTCCGGACAGCTTGTCCTTATCCGAGAGAATAAAATTGATGTTGACATTAACCGGATTACTGGGCGTTATCGACGACACGTCGTTTCCGTTCACTTTGCTGTCGGATCTGTTCAGTATCGGCGACGCAGTCTCGGACTGCCGTTGCAGGTAATCGGCGATGTCGTGTATGTTGATCTTTTTCTCCTGAAATCTATCCCTCTCCCACGTTTGCAATCTCAGAGCGTCCTTCTCCCCGCTTCTCAACGATATTATCTGACTGATCGAGTTCTCCCGACAGTACTCGAGTATCTCCTCCGTGGTACAGAGATCCAATATCGTGACCTTCAACCCTAACGACCAGATCTCCCGTAACACGTCGATCATCTCTTTCTCTCTTCGTCCTCCGCTCCCCTGACTTCCCTCGCAACACACGGCCACGTCGATGCCACATTTGTTCTCACCGCCCAGATTCTCGCACGCTTCCGTCACGGCGGACACCAACTTGTCCAACGATATGCTGATACCGGCACCGTATTGCTTCGTCTCTTTACTGGCCATTCCGGTATGCTCCAGGATTTTCCTGAACGACATCAGCATCTTGTCGTATCGGCCACCCGCCGCTATGACATCCTGACCATCTCGTTTCCGTTTGTGTTTCAGCTCGCACGTTATCTGATATATCATACCGCTGTATTGTTGCACGTTGTACGTTAATAGAGGTACAACGGTAATAGGCCACTGTGAAATAACAAGAAGAAGATAAAACAATGGTAGTGAAATAATTTTACAAATTAATTAAAAATTAAAATTCACTTGTACTTTGTGGAAAGAGCCAATGTCCATTTCCGCGGACTCTCCAAAATTTAGTTCTGAGCAGTTTTAATTGAAAATCGAGGAATAGACACGGGTCCTCCTTCTTCCATGGTACCGAAACACACACACACATAGGGTTTTTATATATTTATCGAAAGTGTGGAAACAATGGAATATCTTGAAAACGAAGCAATTGACAGAAAGAAAAAATGGTTCAGACAAAAGTGGTGACCTTTAGCTTTACCGTTAACTTCTGTTGTATAGCCAATAATTCAAAAAATCAATTTTATTTTTTTTTAATAGAATCATATAGTTTTTTTTAGTACAAGTCAATTCCTCTGCTCATCCTGTGTGTAAAAATATGAAAATAAAATCGTACTTTTCGACAATCTTACCCCGGTACTTTTATACGCAGAATGAAAAGAGAAATCGATTTGTTAAAAAAAAAAAAAAAAAAAAAAAAAAAAAAAAAAAAAAAAAAAAAAAAAAAAAAAAAAAAAAAAAAAAAAAAAAAAAAAAAAAAAAAAAAAAAAAAAAAAAAAAAAAAAAAAAAAAAAAAAAAAAAAAAAAAAAAAAAAAAAAAAAAAAAAAAAAAAAAAAAAAAAAAAAAAAAAAAAAAAAAAAAAAAAAAAAAAAAAAAAAAAAAAAAAAAAAAAAAAAAAAAAAAAAAAAAAAAAAAAAAAAAAAAAAAAAAAAAAAAAAAAAAAAAAAAAAAAAAAAAAAAAAAAAAAAAAAAAAAAAAAAAAAAAAAAAAAAAAAAAAAAAAAAAAAAAAAAAAAAAAAAAAAAAAAAAAAAAAAAAAAAAAAAAAAAAAAAAAAAAAAAAAAAAAAAAAAAAAAAAAAAAAAAAAAAAAAAAAAAAAAAAAAAAAAAAAAAAAAAAAAAAAAAAAAAAAAAAAAAAAAAAAAAAAAAAAAAAAAAAAAAAAAAAAAAAAAAAAAAAAAAAAAAAAAAAAAAAAAAAAAAAAAAAAAAAAAAAAAAAAAAAAAAAAAAAAAAAAAAAAAAAAAAAAAAAAAAAAAAAAAAAAAAAAAAAAAAAAAAAAAAAAAAAAAAAAAAAAAAAAAAAAAAAAAAAAAAAAAAAAAAAAAAAAAAAAAAAAAAAAAAAAAAAAAAAAAAAAAAAAAAAAAAAAAAAAAAAAAAAAAAAAAAAAAAAAAAAAAAAAAAAAAAAAAAAAAAAAAAAAAAAAAAAAAAAAAAAAAAAAAAAAAAAAAAAAAAAAAAAAAAAAAAAAAAAAAAAAAAAAAAAAAAAAAAAAAAAAACTACATGATTCCACAAAAACATTAAATTGACTTAAATTGAATTTTTTAATGTACAACGAAGTTGAGGTCATCAACTTGAGTCCAGTGATGCCAATGATGGCACCGATGCCACAACGCACACAAGCGTCGCATGAGCGTCCATGAGCGTGTACAGCTTCAGCCGTCTTCGGTTGACTCGACGCGAACCGAAGACGGCCCTTCATTGGCATCACTATTTGAGTCCCCCCTCCAAATCCTACAACTTTCGTCAGAAGCATTTTTTTGGCAATTGCTTCATTTCCAAAACGTTCCACTGTTTCTACACTTTTAGTAAATAAACTCTGTATATTCAAAGCTTTACCTTTACGCCTAAACTTTCTACATTGGATATCACGGTTTCTATATCTTTCAGTCCTTCCTTAGCCAAGCCTGCGGCGTCTCCTCTTCTTCTCGTTATCGTCCTCAGGACACTGGTAATCTTTGCAACGGAACTCTCCGTTTCGAGTAAATTGAAAAACGTCTCCATAGCTTGATCGGTAAGGCACAAACTGATCAGGTGCGTTTGGACTTGAAACTTCGAGAACTTGCCGTCACGGGCGTTCTGCAGTATCGAATATATGTCCTCATATTTATCCTTCTCCACGCCGCAGTACATTAACACGGCTTGTAACAGTGACGTGTGATTCAGGCGCACTACGAAATTGCGCTCTTGTATTTGCGGTAGCTCGTTGCAAATCTCCCATATGATGAAGATCAATTCAGCTTCTGACATCAAGTTGTTGGCTACGGGACTGATGATGTCGAAAGCACACTCGTACAATTCCCTCGGATGAAAGCCTCGAGCCTGCAATATGATCCGATATAAATAAATCGTCGCTTCAGATCTCGGTCTTAGAGCCGATTGTTCCATCTTTTTGGTAAGATTTACCCGACAGGTGTCTATTATTAGGTAAACATCAATAGCTGCTATTGATTGGTCGGTTCAATAGATAGCCTGTCGGTTAAATCTTTTACATTAGCTAAAAAAGACATTAATTGAGTTTCCGACGAAATTTGTCGAAAGCGCCAATATATACCTTCTTATCTCTGAACACTCGTTCGATAGCATATCTCCGAATATGCGATATATTGTTCCATATGATGTATCTGGCGAAGGGTGTGCGAAGGTCATGGGGTATGGAGACAATGCTACCGGTGCGCGTCATCAGTTTAACGCTGGACTCGGTGAAACTGTTGTGCTGGTCGGACTTGGGCATCAGCAACGGAGTGGTGAGACACAGGCCGCCGTGCTTCTTGAATATTTCAACGATCTTTTTCTTTATACTTTCCTGCAGAAACAGTTTTCTCGAGGAGAGGACACTTGGCATTCCCCTAGCAGGTAAATTCATGTCATAAGTAATATCCTCCGCTGGTGTAACTTCTTGCGTGAAACAGGACGCCACTAAATACTTGTATGCTTTACTTTGACTGTTGGACAACGTGTGGCGCACCATCTCTTGCAGCTCTGTTTCTTCCAGCTTAGGTGGCGGCAAGTATTCGGATGATAGTAATTCTTGAGCGGTGGGTCGCTGACTCGGGTCGTGACTTAGCAGCCAACTGGAAGAATTTGTAATAATGTTTTATCCTGAATTATTTCATATAATTCATAGAGAGAGGGGGAGAAAAAACGATGCACCCGTGTAGATTTGGTTTTCTTGAGTTAGATTTTCTTACCGTATAATATGAATTTGATGTGGTATGTCGGTTCCCACTATGTCGGTAGGGAAAACGATCTCTTTCATGCGCAGGTTCAAGAGAACCTTGACGCGCTCCATCCCGGTCGTCAGAGGTTTGTGCGTCATTTCGAAGAAAATAATTCCTAAGCTGTAGATATCTACTTTTTGATTATAATTCGCTTTGACAGTCTTCGCGGAAAGTTCGGGCGCTACATACAAAGCTGTCCCGACTTCTCCAGTGAGAGATCTCTCCACGTCGAAACTCGCCCCTGGAAAGAGATGAAGCCGATTGTAAAGTACGTGGATTTATCAATTTACCGTATTAATAAACGATTCGTGATTAAATATTATTCGTACCTTTTTCAATGACATGTGATTCTTTATCAGTGCCAATAGTGTGAACTAACGTCGATAATATATTAGTCGTGGCTAATCCGAAATCCCCTATCTTGACGTTATCGTTACTGTCGAGAAATATATTTACAGGCTTCAAGTCTCTGTGTATCATACCCTGCTGGTGAATATGCGCCAAACCTTCCACCATTTCTCGGAATAACCTCCAGACGCGCTCACTATCTTCGTACAAGTCGTTATCTATGGCAGTTCTCAACGTGCTCTTCTCACAAAATTCCATTTGAATGTACATGAATTGTATTTCCTTCACCGTTACATCCTCACTCGAGTTTTCACCATCTTTCACATCGTCGTTCGAGATCTTGGACTTCGAGCACTTTTGCGAGATACTGTCTCTCTGAAATACTATACTATCGGAAGACTCGATTCTCCGTAAAGACCGCTTTCTGAAAAACAAAAAGTTAACATTTCTCTCGAGATTATAATCTCAGTTAGAATACCTTACATATACACACAATTGCAAAGTTCTATATATATATATATATATATATATATATATATATGTATAATATATCATTTCAAAAAGTTATATATATCTTACAAGAACGAGCAATCTTCGCTATCGGAATCGGAATCGGTTGAAGAGTCGCTGTTATCGTCTTCACTATCGTCTTCACTATCAGCCACATTTGCCAGAGACTCATACGATATATTCCATTCAACCTTATGCAAAGGCAGAGGGGACTTCTCTATTTCTTCACTTCTCAGTTGCTACAAAATTAATGTTACATATCTTTATAATAACATATATACCTGGCTATAATTAATCACAACTAATTTCTCGACGATAACTCGTCATCAATTGATTATAAAATAAAAACATTGTTAGTTGTTTCTTTTTTTTTCACAAGCAAAACATCACTTTGAGTAACACACTTACGTCAACTATATCTGACTTGTCCTGCGTGATAGATCTGTCTTCAGACGTAGTGGCCGGTGTTAAATGACTGTGCCTGGTGGAGTCGTCCAAGGTGGCACTCTCGATCCATGAATTGTAGTAGCGCACTACGTTCTCATGATTCATCCTAGACAGCAGTTTCACCTCGCGCGTAATTTTCTTGTTCAGTAGCTTCTTCATCGGATTTAATTTTATTCGTTTGATGGCGTAAATCCCACCGTCCAACTTATTCTTCACTTTGAGAACATCGCCGAAGGCTCCTTTCCCCAACCACTTTAACACTTCAAATTCATTCTGTATTCGCGACTGCCCGCCCATCGACGGTAGGTAGAACTGAACATCGTTGTCCGGCTCTTCCGGCTCGAGCTTGTTCTCCTTCTCGTCATCATCCGGCGTTGCCGGCGACAAACCTCGTTCTAACGGTATTTTTATGAAACTGTGTTGCTGCAATTCTTCCGCGGACCAACGCATTCTCTCGTCGTCGATAAGACACTTTGATAGAAAGTCTCTTAAGTGATGCTGAAAAAAAAAATAAATCACTCAACTTCGAGCAAATATACTACGTAAATCGTTGCATCTTGTCGATAAAAAAAAAATCTCACCTGCGGGATCACTGTCAGATCAATCTCATCGCCGGATATGATTTGCCCTTTCAACAGTGACAGCAGTAATACTCCATATCTATATATATCAGCCTTTTTACCTCCTCGGCACTGGATTGTTGGAAAATCATGTTCAGTCTTTGCTAAAGAGTTCGAGTGATACATGTCCGACAGTCTTTTGTCCAACGAGTAATCGGATAATCTTATAATGCCTATGCGGTCTATGTAAACGCTGGTGTCGCGCAAGTCTTTGTGCACCACGTCGTTCTTGTGAAGATACTGTAAAGCTTCGAGAACACCGGTTGCCAAGTGCCTCAGCATGTCGATGTCAACTGGAATGTTTTCTGTCAGGAAGAACGAGCACGTGGTTCCAACCTATTTTACAATAATCAATGTTAATATGAAAATAAATATTATTCTTAGCTGCATAAAATATATAGCTCTATAGTTCATACATATATATATATGTGGTATGTGGTATGTGGTATGTAAATATATATACATATATATATATGTATGAACTATAGATAGATAGATATATATATATATATNATATATATATATATATATATATATATATATATATATATATTTACATACCACAAATTCTTGAAGTATATAAATGTCTAAATTATTGTTGTTCTGTAAATATTTCATATTTAAATAATGCACGAGATTCGGGTGATGCAGTTTGTACAGGTGATTAAGTTCTTGTTCCAGGCTAGCAATTTGTTTCATCGCGTGATGTATATTGATAGCTTCCTGAGTAGAGTTATCGTTCTGTGCCACTGTGCACTTCAACGTCCATTCCGTAACAGCCAATAATTCCCCGGTGTTCATGTCCACACCGGCGTATACTATGGAACCCTTCGTACTGTGACCCAAACACTTTCCTCGATGCACTTGTCTCTCGCCCTTGTTACTGTCGAAATGGAGAAGCTTGATGCCTCTGTGCTCGCACTGCGACCCCTCGGAACTTTCCGACGTACTGTCGTGTTGACGTTTAACGTGATTTTTCCTTCGATTGTGCGGAGACGACGGTATCGATCTAAGGGCAGAGTCAGAGTCTGTGGATAGAGCTGTGTCTTTCCGATTACGCATCTCAGCTTTCAGGGCTTCCTGACGTTTCTGTATGGCGTCTTGTAGCACCTAACAAAATATCCATGATATATATATATATATATATATATAGACACCTTATCTCAATACATTATACAACATTGCACAAAATCACATCAATCCAAACCTGTTTTTCTTTATCCTCCTTCATCTGCTTCTCCTGCTTCTCTTGCATCTCACATTGTATCTTCTCCAGACGTCTCGACACCATTTCCTCATAGAAACTACTGTAACCTGGCTTATTGTGTTCGTGTAAGTATTTCTCAACATGCTGACTGAGTTCAAAGATCATAACTTCGCCTTTCAAGTTCCTCGCCGAATTTTCCAGCTCTGAGGATAAGACTGCAACTTGTTCATGTGATAATCCCTTGCTATTTTGCAGTTCGATAGAAGGTATTCTAAAATATTACAGATGATATGCATATTAAGAAATATTATGTAGTTTTGTAAAATAAAAATATTTGGAAGATATATTTGTGTAAGACTTACTCGTCAGGATACTTGTCGCCACATGTAACGTGCAAGTCTACCTGCGCATGAATCTGTGCCGGCCCTGACATACCCCTTTGCGGCGTCAAGGTAATGACTATATCCAGGGATTGCCATCTTTTCTTATTTTTGTTCTTCCGTAAGTCGCGCAACTCGTCACCAAAAATAGACTATATCATGGGAAATTGTACGAAACATTAAGAAAAATCTGTTAAAATTTAAAAGCTACAAATTCGTAGATATATTCACGTGTGTATTTTATTTATCTATTAGCGTGTACGTATGCACGTGTATTGCATACACGTATATCGCATACACGTGTACCGGATACACGTGTATCGCATACACGTGTATCGCATACACGTGTATTATATATACGCATATTGTAAAATACCTTCAAGACTGCCAGTTCATTTTGTTGCTGATCCTTCCAGGTTTCAATGTGAGACATATTGACGTCCTGATATCCAGCCACTTTACATAAATTAATAAATTATAAATTTCGTAAAAAATGAAATGCTATGCTGTAAAACAGTAACGAACAATAAAGTAACAGTAAAGAAAAGGAGGTAAATTTAATTTTTACCATGTTTAGCCGATATATAAATACTCATTTGATTATATCGTGATATATTTTTAAATGCTTGATATTTGTCTTACAATGCTGAATTTAATTAGCTCGAACTGGCCTCAATCACCTCTGACTTTCGCGAAACACCAGAATACACTTGAGTATACACGATGCGACTCGACCGAACAGCTACACGTGAATGCCTAACGTAAACACACGACGCGTCTTTCTACCTTTGCCGCGTCCATAGAGATATAAGAATAGAGGGAACAAGGGAGATATGCTACCTGTAAGTGGAAGTGATAGAGGCAAAGAGAGAGATGGATGCCGAGTGTCCTATCTGTCTTTTTCTAGTCACGCGCTGGGATTGGCTGCCGCGCCAACGACGATATAGCTATACATTTTTCTCCGTCCAATTCAAAGAAACTGTCATTGCTAAAATGATCACTGCAAATATATGCTGTTTTTACTTCAAAATACAAAGGTAGTTGAAGTATATTCAACAATTTACGCCTTATATCTACATCCTTCGGTAGCCTACAACATTTACACATTTTTTTAAATGTAGGAAAAAATAACATAATTATTTGAGGTTACGTATTTGTACTTTCTTACGAGTGAAAACTGCGGTTACATCCAGGATAAGACTCCGCCTTGCATTTCAAACAATGCCTCATTTTTAAACAAATCGCGTCCAATTATTATTTTGTTAACGTTCGAATATTTAACGAATTTTAATTCTACACACATGTGCACGCATATTTACAAAACGAAATTTTAGTCTGCTTTCTCCCCTCCTGACGTCGCGTGGTCGTCTTGGCGGCTCATTGTAACAACCAATCACAGCGCTCAACTAGAAAGAGACAGATAGGACACTCGGCATCCATCTCTCTCTTTGCCTCTATCACTTCCACTTACAGGCTTGTTCCCTCTATTCTTATATCTCTATGGCCGCGTCCTATGGGCAGAAGCAAATGGCCGGGTTCAGTACGTTTACTTTGTAACTGTTGAAAGTTTCCTGAATTGAAATTGGATTATTCTTTTAGATCTACAGGAATAATCCAATGTCAGCACAGGTAACTTCCAACAATTGTAAACTAAGCGTTCTGCTGAACGCGGCCAATATCTCTCATCATCTGGTTTTTTTTAGTTACACTGCTGAACTAAAAAGAACGGACCACTTGACTCGGGTCGGAATTCGCTGAAATCTCCATTTATCTCCAGTCGGTCCTTAACCTTCGACTCGTTAATAGGTCGTAAACGTTGGAGGGAAGCTCGTAAACAATGGGAAAACACGAAGTGGGCACGCCGAAGTACATCGCTAATAAGATCAAAGCGAAAGGACTGCAGAAATTGAGGTGGTATTGCCAAATGTGTCAGAAGCAGTGCAGGGATGAAAATGGATTCAAGTGTCACACGATGTCGGAGTCACATCATCGTCAGTTGTTGCTCTTCGCCGAGAACGCACACCGATACATGGATCAATTTTCGAAGGATTTTTCGAACGGCTACTTGAACTTACTGAAGAGACAATTTGGCACCAGACGAGTACCGGCGAATCGTGTTTATCAGGAATATATCTCTGATCGGGGCCACATACACATGAATGCGACGCAGTGGCTCACATTAACAGCATTTGTGAAGTGGTTAGGACGTACCGGACAATGCGTTGTTGACGAAACTGAGAAAGGTTTGTACATGTTTTGTTGCTGATATTTTCCTTTGCAATTGTTGGTAAAATCGAAAAATCTTATATGCCAATAAAGGATTGTAAATTTTATAGAATGAATGTTATGATTTTTTAGGCTGGTATGTAACATACATTGACAGGGACCCTGAAACACTTGCTGCACAAGAAAGGAAAGCCAAGAAGGAGAAAATGGATAAGGATGACGAGGAGCGACTGATGGATTTCATCGAGAAACAAGTGGAGAGAGCCAAGCAGGACCCGAAGGAAGGAGAGAGCGAGGCATCCAAGACGCCGCTGATGCGTCCCGAGAATGACACACCTTTAGTTCTTGACATAAAACTCAAGCCGAAACCAAAATTACTCCCTGTATTCAACAAAGTGAAGCAGGAAAAGGTGAAAGGTGAAAATATCAGCAAGGACCAATCTATCCTGAGTAAATCAACCGATGAGAAAGACAAGAAACGAAAGGTACATAGCGACAACAACGACAAAGAAATCAAGTCTAAGAAAAAGTTCAAATGCAACAACGATTCATCCGCGACTGAAGGCTGGCTCAAAGAAGGTTTAATGGTTAAAGTAACCACGAAGAGTCTGGGTGAGAAGTATTACAAAGCTAAAGGTGTAGTTCAAACGATCTGCAAGGAAGGTTTTGTCGGTAAGATCAAGCTGAAGACTCCGGAAGAAGTTAACGGACACGTCATACGACTGGATCAGGAATACTTGGAAACGGTAATTCCTGCGATAGGCAAAGAGATCCTGATTCTTTGGGGGAAGCACAGAGGCAGGAAAGCGACAGTGAGAAAATTGCACATAGAGCGTTACAGTATAGACGTCGAGTTTGAGCCGGAGAGGACAATTGTGGAAATGCTCCCGTATGAACAAGTATGCAAGTATATAAGTGTGTAGATTTATTAGTCGCGTGGAGGAGTCATTAGGAAAAAGAGATGATGTATTTTCATATTACTCCGTAATATCCTTAATATACTTATTACGTTACTCTTTCCAACGAGCACCTGTGTACAAATTTAACAATATGATCTTAAATATTAATACTTTGTGTATAAGTGCTTTGCAGACAATTTGGAGAACGATTTTCTACAAAATGTCCATTAAAGTCAAATTTTCTTATTAAATATGAGACAAGTTGAGCTATTTGGATTTTTTACTAAATATATGTCATTTTATGCATATACATGCGCTATATGTTATGTAAGTATATATATATTATATCTAAGGTTGAAGTAGTAAAAATAAATATCACACATCTGTCCAATGTAAATGTTCACTGTCCATGTAAATGAAATACTGTAATTTACTAACTATCGTTAAAATTCTAACGATTGTTGGTGAAATCAGACTATTAAGAAATAAGAAATGTAAAATAAAACATAATTGTCAAGAAATAAATACATATATAAATTTTATATTGTTTTTTTTTTTTATAACATTTAACGACAAATATTTCATAAATTTTATGTTTATATATTAAAATTTTTTTTCTAATTACATACTTAATAAGAGTATTAACCACTTGCGCTGGAAAGCGTGCTACGCACGTCGTAATGCTTTTGTCGCAAAATCGCCAACGACGTGGTATACACGTCGTCAGGCAATTGTCACAGAAACGACGTGCGTGGCATATCGGCTGAGATTCTTTGCCAGAGCACTGATTCTCATTGCATTGCATAGCGTACAGTTGTCAATATATAACCTATATTCTAAATTAGTTTAGAAGATATAAGTCTTTCTCCAATTTCTCTAAGGCATCGAACACTGTGTGACGCCTCCCAGCGAGTTACACTGGACCGTTCTGGCACACGCGTTTGTGAATTTCTTGCCAGCGCAAGTGGTTAAGTATTATTTATTTAATATATATATAATATATATTTGATTACAAGATCTTTTTATAAATAATATATAATTTGTTTATTTATTTAAACAATAGAATGTATTATTATATTAGAAACTTTGTTTACCGTATTATGTATATGCTTATTATTGATTAAAAAAGAAAGAGACGAAATAGAAAATTTACTGTTACAATGTAGATACATTTTTTTAAAGAAGCAATGACAGTCATAATTATGTAGACAGATATGCAGATGTATTTTGTGTAGAGAGAATATGTACATATTTCTATAACACGCGATTTCCTTGGTTTTGTTGTTTTTATTTGTTTAATGAGTGAAACTATACAATAAATGATGAACTATAAGTGTGCAATGATGGAATTTAGATACAATATAAATTTTAAATAAATGTGAAGATACATGAAGTTTTACTTGGCTTTGTGGATCATCATCTCACGTAGCTTTTGTACTGCAAAACATTCTTTATCCAGTAAAACAATACGACCATTGATTTTAAACAATGCCTCTGGCATAAATTTGCGAAACATAACTACAGCAGAGCCTTCACTGAATATTTCTAATTTTTTTCCGTGTATTATATTACTTACAAACATGCCTTTAAACAACTTTTGCTTAGGGCTGTGATAAATTCTAAGTGGCATTGTTTTGGTGGTTATTATGAGTATGGCAGATGTAACTATACCGCCAAATACTGAAATTATCTTGCTAAATTTAGACGGAGGCTGCATTGTTATCAATGGATTTCCTTCTTCATCTGTGTTCATTAGACGTCCTTCTTCATCTATGTTCTCTTCTAAATATTTTTCATCTGGTTCTTCTTGATATAGACGTTTATATGGTTTTGACAGCGTTGGATCTGTGATAATTATGTATATTGCATTAAGTATTGAAAGGAAAAGGAATAACCATCCGCCATTATATGAAAGAATGATTAGTCTATGTATAGTTGTATGTTCTCTGTATATCAGCTTGTAATCGTCACTTATATTGTCCTTTAGTTTTAATTTCTTCTCTAATATGGAGTCTGATTTAATAGGATCAAAGTGTCCATAATTCTTCACACGTATAACTTGAGCAATAGGATTACAAATGACGCTCTTGAAGTAAGTAGCTCGATACAAAATAGGAGTTCTGCTCAAGATACAAGCCATTTTCTACTAGTGTATATATATATATATA